TCAGTGTGCATGAATAACTGCCTGCTTGTTGAAAGTGTTTGGATGCTTTGAGTCTGTGTAGGTGGCTCTATCTGGCCCAATGATCTGCAAAAATATGAGCACTCGGACTCCGTTGGTGTTGTTTGCTTGGTTCGCATTGATTCCAATTCTTTGCAATGATCTCCTGTCTCGGAATCACTGGGCCAAAAGACTTGTACTATCTTTGCCCTAGCAAAATCTTGCATTCGCAAAAGTCCAGAAAATGCAACTTCATTCTCAGCAATCACCTAGGCTTTGAATCATGTCTATCTTAGCAGCCTAGCAAATAGAATATTCATGAATATTCCAGAATTAAACCCATGCAGTTAGAAAAATGCGAACCCCCACTTAAATTATTGACACTTAGAATAGTTCAAAGAACCTAACCCCGCCCGTAGAACGCAATTGTGTCCCCTTGAGTACGTAGTGTTGCCCATATCACATTGCCATAAAGGCAAATGCTACACTTCAAGAAGGAATGTATTTATTGATACCTTCAGTGTCGAATATTCTAAGTGCAAGACTGTTCTTCTAAGCTACCAGTAGTGCCCGCACGAGGCGGGGCGGAAGTTGCCTTAAAGATATATATAAGATCTTTCTCATCTATAGAACTTGCATGCGCCGTGCGCCAGCCAAGCCCGTGCGTGCGTGCACTCTGCGAAACTGGTGTCGTGTTTCACATGTCACACTTGAAGCCCCACGTCACACTTCACACTTGACAGTCTTCACACTTCACACTGCACCCTTCTCAGTCAACACTTCACACTTCTCACTTCACACTGCACTCTCCCCAATCCACACTTCACACTCCACACTTCACACTTCACAGTCCACACTTCACACTTCTCACTTCTCATTGCTTTCTTCACACTCCACACTTCACACTTCACACTGCACTCTCCGCGCCCCACGCTTCACACTGCACTCTTCACACTCCACACTTCATCTCATCTGAGCTCTTCTCGGCGCTTCTGCACGTCAGCAAGGTTGAGCGTAACTCATGTTGATTCTTCTACATGCCAAAAGGCGTAGACCATCTTGCGCTCGCTTTTTGGCTTCTTTTAAGCACATATCACAGATTGGTCTCTCGGGCTCAAGCCAATCTTTTTTCGGCATTTGCACAAAATTCGTTTTTTGGTAAGTTTGCGTTTCAAACTTCCCAGGCAACTGTGCTTTCGTCCGCTTGGTGCCAAACCATCCTTCGTGACAATACGAGCAGTCTTGAAATTCAAGCTCGTTCAAAAAAGTATCGACTTCATTGACACGATGGAAAAAAGCCATGGTGCGGCTTTCGGCATCTGCGGAATTTCCGTACAGTTGTCGCAAACTCTTCGGCAACCTGGGCCGTGGCAAGTCATCTCCCAAGACTGTCTCCCGGCTATGCAACTTTGCTTCATGCGATTTCTTCAGCGGCACAGTGGCTGCTGCTGGCAACAGCTGTCCTAGCGCATTTCTCACCATCTCTTTCTTGTCCTCTGTCAGACTCGGAAACGTGCGTTGCATGAAGTCAAAACAGCAACGAAGTTCGGCATCTTGCTTCTTGCCGTGCACATTAAACAAAGACTCAACACTTGCTGCGCCACAGGATTGCAATTCTACTTTTCTTCGATCCAGGATCTGCATGAACTTGTCTACCGAATCAACTGCTGGAACACACAACAATGTTTCCCATTCCTGCAACTTAGCCTTCATATCTTCATCAAGGTTTTCATACCTCCGTCGCCAAAAATTTCGGCCAAATACATATTCTGGCTTACCTGTACGCTCAGCTGCACACATGAGTTGAAGCAGCGTCGACTTCTGCATCCCTTGCAACTCTTCTCTGTTATCTTCAAGAATGTTGACGAAACGATCGAACTCGGGCTGCGCAGCTGCATGCTTCACACATACCCGCCGTTCCAAATCCTTCCACTTTTCCTTTTCTTCTTCATTCAAACTCTCATATGTGTAGTTCTTCACAAAACGATAACAAATGCCTCTCCAAGTTCTGCTCTGTGAAACAGTCTTACTCATGCACACATCACGCAATGTACCTTTTCCCAAAGCCTTCATCTCCTCTACGTGCGCTTCTGCAGCAGCACAAAACTTCCGAAAGGCTGCTCGCACATCTGACACGCAGTTTTGTTTTTCCCATTCTTGTATCACTTGGGTCTGTTCGGCTGAAAAGGTTTTCTCAAGAGCAAGATACATCTTGTAATACTTCCAACATTTTCCGGTGCTTAGACAAGCTTTCAACCTCTTACATTCCAGCACCTTCAAAGTCGCCGCTTCCTTCTCGATGTATGACCACAGATCAGCAAAGGTCCCCGATTGCGCCATGGCTCCACCGCGTCTTAGGAAACGGGCCGCACTGCCACGTCTCCTTGCGCACTGCGACGTCCGAAATTATGAGCATGGCTGTCTCATCATGCATGCCTTTCTCATCCACTATAACCGCTCCAAAACATGAGAAAATCTTCGTGACTAACCATGAGACCTGAATACATGACACCTCTGACAAATGCACGTTCCCAAGTCTTTCTTGCTACACATGTCTGCCTCCTGGAAAATGCAAACGGCTGCGGCCACAACACATCGCCACCGTGGTTTCTAATCAAGAGTTCTATAGCTTGTTCCTGAACATCAATGTCACAACATTTACCTACATCAATATCGCACACAAAACTCGAAATAGCAACCTACATCCACGAACTAGCTGACAAACTACTTCCCAGTACTACTTCCCAGTACATACTACTTGGCACTACACAGCTTGCACCCACTACTACTTTGCACTACAATTCCCAGTACTACTTTGTACTACAAAACTTGCACAAAGTACTCCCCAGTACTACTTTGTACTACAAAGCTTGCACAAAGTCGTTTCCAGTATGCTACAATTTGCTGCTCCAAAACCGGATCTCGACGCCAAAGCAAGAAAAAGACGATTTTGAAGCATTTTTGAAAAGGAATTTCAAAAGGAAAATTACTAGCGCCAAATTTGCGAAAATCTGCTGACAAATGACTATCGCAGCCTGGATGCAGCCACTCCAATACGATTTACAATCTTCAGCTGCAAAAGACAATAGTATTACGCATGCAGCCGCGGCGGCAAGCAACCTTGAGGCAGCCACTCCAATGCGATCTGCAGAGACTGAGTTGCAAATCACAATAGAACTAAGCGCAACGGCGTCGGAAATTGCAGCTCCAAAACCGGATCTCGACGCCAAAGCAAAAAAAAACGATTTTGAAGCATTTTTTAAAAGGAATTTTAAAAGGATAATTATTAGCGCCAAATTTGGGAAAATCTGCTGACAAATGACTATCGCAGCCTGGATGCAGCCACTCCAAGACGATTCACAATCTTCAGCTGCAAAAGACAATAGTATTACGCATGCAGCCGCTGCACCAAGCAACCTTGACGCAGCCACTCCAATGCGATCTGCAGAGACTGAGTTGCAAAACCCAATAGAAGTACGTGCAATGGCGTCGGAAATTGCAGCTCCAAAACCGGATCTCGACGCCAAAGTGAAAAAAAGACGATTTTGAGGCACTTTTTAAAAGGAATTTTAAAAGGAAAATTATTAGCGCCAAAATTGGGAAAATCTGCTGACAAATGACTATCGCAGCCTGGATGCAGCCACTCCAATACGATTTACAATCTTCAGCTGCAAAAGACAATAGTATTACGCATGCAGCCGCGGCGGCAAGCAACCTTGACGCAGCCACTCCAATGCGATCTGCAACCGGAGATTCCAAAACACCCTATAACTACGCACACACAACCACACCCAAAGCAGCTTGAAGCCACCGTTACACTGCGGCAAAAAAAAACGATAAACCGACCGCAGCCGCACCCGCCGCACAGACGAGGTACCTTTCATCGTCGCCTGCAGCCACTTTACACGGAAAAACACAAGGTTTCGTGCTCCGGCTTCCTCCCCAAAACAGCGCCCTTGCAACATCATGCAGCCATTCCAATGCGATCTGCAAGCACAGATTCCAAAACACCCTATAACTACGCACACACAAGCACACCCAAAGCAGCTTGAAGCCACCGTTACACTGCGGCAAAAAAAAAACGACCAACCGACCGCAGCCGCACCCGCCGCACAGACGAGGTACCTTTCATCGTCGCCTGCAGCCACTTTACACGGAAAAACACAAGGTTTCGTGCTCCGGCTTCCTCCCCACAACAGAGCCCTTGCAACATCATGCAGCCATTCCAATGCGATCTGCAAGCACAGATTCCAAAACACCCTATAACTACGCACACACAAGCACACCCAAAGCAGCTTGAAGCCACCGTTACACTGCGGCAAAAAAAAACGACCAACCGACCGCAGCCGCACCCGCCGCACAGACGAGGTACCTTTCATCGTCGCCTGCAGCCACTTTACACGGAAAAACACAAGGTTTCGTGCTCCGGCTTCCTCCCCAACTCACCACTTCCCTTCCTCACCACTCCCCTTCATCATCACTTCCCTTCCTCTCCACTTCCCTTCGTCACCACTTCCCTTCCTCACCACTTCCCTTCGTCACCACTCCCCTTCATCATCACTTCCCTTCTTCATCACCACTTCCTCAAGGTCAATTTCATAGCTTCTTATTCTTTTGTTATGTATTGGTACATTATGTATTGTTATATTATGTATTGTTATATGATCTACCACCCTTCCTCAAGGTCAATTTCATTGCTTCTTATTGGTTTGTGATGTATTGGTACATTATGTATTGTTACAGGATCTACCACCCTTCATCATAGTCAATTGCACCAAGTAAAAAGTCATTCGTAACTCGGAAATTGCTTCCCAACTTCCTTTGACCATGTTCGAGTCTTGACTGTGAAATCAAAATATCAATGTACAAGTAGGGCCTAGGGCATAGGCGTCCCCAAGTCTGGAAAGCTGTGCACACCTCATGTTGTCTCCAAAATCCGGGTATCCATTGTGCTTTACAAGGCTCATTGGCAAAGCATCATCGTACTTCCAACAGCATCTTTCATCACATGTCTTGTCGAAGAATCGACCGATCCAGGTCACACAACTGATCGAGACCGATCCAGTCTGCATGGCGCACAGTTTTACTCTGAATGTCACTGCATCTCGAGCTAAACTTTCTTGAATTCGCACTGGCTTTGAGATGGCCAGTCTTCAGTAATTGAAGCATTGTGTCTCCATTTTGTTTGCTGAACTCACCATGTCTGGGTCTGGCATATGCATCAACAAATCTGCGTCCACCTTTCGTTTCGACAGAAAAAGCGCGTCAGAGCGAAGGAACTGTCCTTTCATCTAAAGGCTTCCCATCAGCTCCTGCACATCAAAAAGCAGCTCCAAATTCAGCCAGTGCGAGGTTCAACGACTCAACGATCCTTGTGAATCCTACAAACACGTGGATATTGCAGATGGGTCAGCAACAACCTGACTGGGAACGACCACAGATCAGATGATTTTATATCCATGTCAGTGTCCATGGGTTCCTCCCCAGGGTCTGCCTTGCTGCATTTCAGGACCTGGAGTAGACGCCTCACGAATGTCCAGTGAAAGGCAGAAGGCAAGCAAGACCAATGTTCACCGAAAAAAATGTGTCCATTCAAGCAAACAACGGAGAGCATATATTAAGTCATAAGGCATTCAGTATAAACCCAAATGGATCCAAATGGCACATTCAGCCCGCTGATACTTGCCCCAGGAATCCGCAACCAACGGACTGTAGCTGTGGCATGCTGTGGCAAATGAAGGGGCAGCAGTAAGTACGACAAGCCCACCGCCAGCAAACCACAGCCATAAAAAAGAAGAGGCAAACCCAAGCAAACCCGCACTTTGGAGCATGACAATTGATGACGCATTTGTGAAGAAAAGGTCTAGCGGGTCTGGCGGCCAGCGATCTGAGTCGCAGACAATGCTGGAACCTGGCCATTGCTGCAATTGCTCGATGAGATCCTTCACAGTGTCTGCCTGCGTCAGCTGGACATCCAAATATCCACTCAAAAAACAAAGGAAAAAAACAATCTGAATCTGAATCATTCTGAATCTGAACCTTGGAGCATCTTTCCTCAAAAGTATCAAAAGTGCACCTGCGAAGCTTCTGGCATGAACTTTGCATGCTGTCTGAGCTGAGGCTGCTGAGGCTGCTGAGGCTCAAGAAGCGGTTGTACTTTGGCTCGAGCTGGAGGCAACTGTGCGAACAGCGCAGGTGTTTGCATCGGCTGTGCCCCTTGCAGTTCTGGAGCCGTGGGCCACAGCTGCAGTTGCTTGGGATGCTGCGCTTGTGGGCCGGGCGTCGCCAAATGTGCTGCTAACGAGGCTGCGGCCGGGCACTGAGGAGACATTGCATGGTTTCTGGACTCCTGGATATGGATGTGTGGTGGTGGACAAGGCGGTGATTGCGCGATGTGATGCACTCTTGGTGATGGCAGGACTTGATGGAGATGGACTTGATGGACTTGATGGACTTGCTCCAGTTGCAAATGCTTTGAAAATTGATTGTGCTGTGAGTGCTGTGCCTCTCTCAGCAGCCGCTGTAACACATCTGCTGACCGAAGCTCCAGCCACTTGGGCAACGGTGGGGAACACGCACCGGAAGCTCCAGATCTGCTCTCTCTCGCAATGTCTGGAGCCTTCTGGTTCGAGTTCTTGTCCTCGTAATGGCTGTCTTGCGAGTGCCGGCTATGCTCTGTCTCCGCAGGCTCCTGCTTTGAAACGAACGAAACCAGTAGCAATGATCCACAAAACCCGCAAGTGTTGGGTATATAATATGTCTGTGAACGATGTATATATGTATACGGTATACTGGGGTATATGTATAGATGAGAAGAAAATTGATCCGCACTTTCATTTGAGTCATTTCAGCCTAGCAGTGAGGTTTCAATCGAAATGTCCTGCTTGGGGGAGGCTGGAGTCACAGCCAGGTCTCGAAGCATGTCAGTCGCCTGGTGTTCTCACAGCAGCTATCACCAATCCCACGAAGGACCAAGGAGCTGGAAAGAAAGATTGCGCTTGCCTCTAGAAAGGATGGCCGACGATCAGCGTCGTCATGGATGCAAAGCCTCGGCGCTCTCCAAAATTCCGGACCATGCAGGACCAGTGCAAAGTGGGACATGTTTTCGGTACAAAACACTACAAAGCAGTGTAAAAAGCATTATAAAGCCACATGTTTAGAAAAATCATCCACGGTTTGGTGGTGATAATCTCGAGCCATACCCATCTGTTGCCCTCGAACATACGACCTCTCCACATAAACATGGCCTTCATCAGCGGCTACCAGGCTACTGTACCAGTCCTCCAAGCGCAGCTGACATGGTGCTTTGATATCTGAGGACCATACAAAGCAAGGGTGGCCATGCTTGCAGCTGTCTGCAGTGGCCACTGAGCACCTGTGAGTATTGAGGACATGGATCAAAGCTGGGGAACCACATCGCATGACGCGGATGCTCCAGTTGTTCAGATGCTGGGCTCCACACGTCCGTCTAGACGACTCAGAACTCGGCCTTTCGCCCGGTCCTTTCGTTGAGTCGCCATGATATTGTTTTTTTGTTGGTTGGAATCTCCTCTGTATATTCTTTTGTCCATGCTGACTGAGAATAGCAAGATCATCTGAAGCTGAGATTATTGGGTTCCTTTCTCATTAGTTCTTTTCCACAGGGATCGAAAACCAAACCCTGCCGCTAGACACTCAGTGTCCTCCTTTGGCCGCAGCTCGTCGCTCAAGAAGACCTAGGTATCTATTGTTTGTACAATGCCATGGAGCACAGTCTAACCTATAGATAGTCTGTGTATAATTCTGCATACACAGTCATACATACATGTGTGTCATTTATTTATTTGTGTGATATGTTGTACTCATAATAACGTACACACACATATTATATATACATATATACATATACATATACATATATATATACATATACATATACATATACATATACATGTACATATACATATATATACACATAGCCTAAGTTGTGTTTTGCATTGGGTCTCTTCCAAACGGAAAATGATGTGCGACTTGCAACATCTTGCAACATCTTGCAACCCTGAATGTGATGAATGTGGCGATTGAGGAAAAGGCACAGCTATGGCCATCCTGCGCCAACACAGCTGGTGGTCTACCCACCAGCAATTCTATGAGGACCTGTCAGTCGCGTAAGGTCTGCCATGGTCTGCCATGGTCCTCTCCGCGGTTAATTCTTGTTTGATTCCTTTAAAGCTTGGCGGAAGCTGTCACGAGCTGTTAGCTTTCCACAGCCACTGTTCACGCCTGACCAAAAGAGTAGCATTCGCTAGATTCAGATATCACACCAGTCCTGTCACCATGCATCACTATCACACGGGTCGATGGTCGCTTACGTCCAAGTGGGTGATTTTCGTCCAGGCAAAGCATCGCTGCTGACCGTGACCAGTGGTAATCTCCTGGTGTACAAAGGATCAGAGTACCCCAGCGTCCCAGCGACTTGCCTTAGATTCATCTGGCCACTTCCCATCATTTTTTCCGTATACTTCAACCAATGCTGCGAATCATGAGATATGTGGTCCACTGAGACTCCAACACTGTGGCCACCTCGTGCTCGTGATGGTGGTTGGCCATGCATGCCAAGCCTGAGCCAGTGACCAAGTGACCAAAACCAGTTTCTGGAACTGATCCAAACATCCAAACGTGACGGCAAGCCATCTTGGAGTAGCCCACCAAAATCAGCGATTTTAGCCGTGCCATCACTGCTGAAGAGGATGTTTTGGCTCTTGATGTCGCCTAGAGATGCGATTGCAGGGTTTGCAGTAAGACATGTGTCAATCAACAGCGAATTCTCTGGGCAATCAAGGTGCGGTGAAAGATCTTCGGTCGGTGCTTATGTAGGTGAGCAAGACCCCGGCAAACCTGCAACGCAGAATCACCGCGTGTCCACGAAATCCCAAAGTACAGCCAAACGAAAAGCTGTGCCTCCGTGGCTGTTCTCAGGCGATCCTGCCACTGGTAGGGTTTTTCATCCCGCAGCCTCGCAGGCATAGCTAAACAGAGCATGCAGAACATCATGCAAAGCATCATGCACTGGGCCTTTGCTATGGCAACTCATTTGGTATTGAAATGGATTGAAATGGTAAACTTCATCCCAGACTCATGGGTCCTATGGACCACCAGCTCAGTCGCTTCAATGTTTTTCTCGACATGTTTTCGGCCTCGCCTTCGGTACAAGTCACCGCCGTGCAGCATCTCGTAAACGAGTGCACATCGTCGGTTGATGGGCGCGAAGGGAAATTGGGTCTCTTCGGCAAACCCTAGAAGCATCACCACCTACAACCACTCAAAGCACTCAAGTGCTCAGGAAATCAGACCCAAATGAACTTCCCCAACTTGTCTTCATACTATGGGCTATAGGGAAAAAAATGTTGAATCAAATGGAATATGTAAGTGTCTACTGGGTATATTACTGTGACTGGAATGATTTTACTGATTGAATCTTTCAACATCTTCCAACTGCTTATAGAATTACTTTTCCTACTCTTCCGTGCCGGGTACTGGGCTCCTGGCATTGGGGTGCCGGCAGCGTGACAAGAGTCTCACCTCTTCGTCAAACCCGCCCCGCGCCGGGGCATCCAACACCTGACTCACCGTCCATGAAGGGAGCACGGCGTGAAAGGAACCCTGCCTTGATTGCAGCTTCGGTGCCCTCACAAAGGGTGGCATAATAGACAGTACCTGGCTATAGATCAAAACCGTGGTGAACATCTAGCGGCAATAGCTGCCATGTGAATGGATGTTCATCCCATCAAAGATATTCAAAGAATTTTCAAAAGATTTTTAAAGATATCATAAAAATTCATAATATAAAATGTCAAATTAGGATTAATCAGCACCGCCCGATGAAGCAACCTCTACTGCCCCCCAAAAAATGGTAATTTAAAAACAGTTGGTCCCCCTGGATTAATAAGCTCTTTTGCCTGGACCTAATTAATCAACCACCAGTGCTGAAATCTTATTTTCTGATCCAAAATTCTTTATTTCCAATTCTTTTTGTTTCTCATCATGTCTCATCAATCTCAGAACTCATCATCGTTTCTTGTTCAGTCTTAAAAACTATCACTGCCATCCCATACTGCCACCCCATGCTGCTCATTGCTTCTTTTTTCTGCTGATGGCCTGCCTCATTGAAATGATTTGTGAATGAGCTTGCCTGATCGCTTATGTGCCTGTCTCATGAAATACCTTTGGCATTTCCATTTATCACATTTATGGCACCCACTCTGATGCCTGCATTTGGGGCACATTTCAATTTCATTCAAGCTGATCCTCAAGATCTCATCAAATCCAATGGAATTCCATTAGATTTTAGCAATCAAATCTCATCAAATCCAATGGAATTCTATGAAAATTTAATTGACATCCATAGGTTCCAAGCCATATCGAAAATTTTATGGTTCAGAGGGCGTTTATTTCGGGGGGAAACTAGAAAAGACCTTCCAAGGTCAATCTGACCTTGTGGGGGGGGTGATTAATCCGATGTTGACATATGTATATATAATATAATATAATATAATATGCGTAATATAGTGTGATAGCCACTTGCAGCAAGGTGTCACAAGGCGCACCACTTGCTCCAGCACCGAGCTGGCGAGTTGGCGCGAAGCTCTCTGTAGCCTGGGCACATTTCCGGAGCTGCCGTTGACACAAAAAATGGCACCAAAAGATGGCCAAAATGTCTTTGTTTCATTTGGCTAAAATGTGCCACTGTTTACCCCCACTTTTTCACCATCGCTGGACAGTATCAGTCCCAGTCCCAGTCCCAGTGCCTGTTGCAGCTCCTGCCATGAGTACTCCAAAGCGAGGCCCTCGAGTCCTTCGATGGCACTTTTCGGCTCCTCCAACTCGGCAGACAGATTCCTGCGTGCTGCGGGTTGTGGCGTAACTGCCAACCTCCGAATTTGGGATGGCTAAGAAACAATGATTGGTTGAGAAATTGGAGAAACTTGGGATGGTTGACCATGGTTGATGGTTTTGAATATACCACAGTATTGCAGGCAGTGATTACTTTTGCCGAACTAACTTCATGATGTTGTCGCTTCATTTGGGAGGCACATGGAGGCACTCTTCTTGGCTCGCAATTCAAAATGTGGCTCGCTCCTCAATTCTGCTTTGGTGAGGTCATTCCAGGCACATTGACCGCTTGTCAGTCGTGCCAATGCCTGCGATGCAACCGTGAAAAAGGCTCGTTTTGGCGCCACCACAAAACTCTGCGCACCTCCCCTAGCTGCTGAAACAGCTGCATGGCAGAATGTGAAGCAAAATACCATGGGCCACGGATTTTGAAAGGTACGAATGCCATTGGATTTCAGTCATGACTTTGCATCCAATTTTTCTATGGCAAAAAACCTTGGCTGTTCATATAGGGTGCTCCAATTTTTTGGGCTCGGCGTTTCTCCCGTTTCGCATGGCTGCCATGACTTCGTGCCAAATTTTACTGCGGGGCCTAAAAATCGCACAACTGAGCAGACTCAGCACATCTGCAATCTGATCTCAGGACAAACTTCACTTGGATCAATATATCAATGGGAATATATAGAGGATCCTAAAATAGAGGTACGTTAGTACCATTTTTGGCCATATTTTGTGGGGATATTCCCATTGAATATACTGATCTGGTCTTGCCAGCAGTATAAGGCTTTTTTTCCACATGGGCAACGATTTTCACCAACGCAATCAAGGCACCAGTAAACCTGGTACCAAACAAAGTGAATCAGTGCTTGAGATCGGCTGGGCTTCATGGTTCAAGCACACAACAAAATCTGACACACTGAATAACTTGTCACTTTCCATGTCTACTCCGACAATAGCTGGGTCACCTGCCTACCAACCGTTGAAGGTCCGTGGTACAGGTTTCTTGGGTGTCCTGCAGCGGTGCTTTCTGGTAAATCCAACAGCAACGTTACACAAATGCTGCATTCCTGGTTCCGTGCCCCAACCTCCGAGTTCTTTGCGGAGCTTTCCAAGTTGCAGGAGCCTGCACCAGGGCTACGGTTGCATCCAGTCCATTTTGATCCTTTTGTCTTTGCTGTGAGACTCTGTAAAATCTTCACTTTTAGAAATCCTTGCAAGCTTGTTTGTGTGTGTGTGTGGGCGTTTAGTGCTTGAAGTCTGAACCAAAGAAATTCTGACAGAGTAGGTGAACATGTAGGATTCTTTTGAAAGAATGAAGCCAGCACCTCCATGTTAATGGGCTTCTTGCCCAAGCAGCAAAGGTACAGCCTGTCATTTGCTCGTCTGTGAACAAGCTATCTGGCCCAGAAAGGCAGCGTGCACAGCGGTAATCATGGCAGTGTCTCTCACAGGACTGGATCCTTGATGCCCGGGTCTTGATAATTCGGCCTCGAGATCGAAATGATCGAAACATAAGACTTGGCTAAGTTAGTAGGCACAATGGAAAAAAATGCAACAAATCAAACTTTCAAGAATGGTTACTGTAGTTAACTCCTTTGCTTTCCCTTCCAAATCCTGTGATGAAGTTGCTACACTCAATTGCCAAGTGTCACTGCTCAAAGCGAGCTTTCATTTTTCCAATCAAGTCGGTGGTAGATGCCTCAAGCAGGAAGCTGTCCCCAAGTATACAGCATGCCTTGTTGCAGCATTGAGGCAGCGACTCCTTCAAAATGCTTGGCAACCATGCTTCCTCCCACTTTGAGCTTCATATCTGCAATGCTCATTACCACTTCCTGCAGCAGAAAACAGGCAGCTTCACCTTTCGTGTAATGCAAGCGATGCCTAGAATTCATTCGGGTGTGTCTGAAAATAGGGTACCCATGGGTACCCTATGGTTAATCACCATTTCCCTAAATGGCCAGTTGAAGGGTACGCCCCATCTTTAGACAAACCCATTCATTCACGTTAATGCATCGATACATCTTCATATCTGCTATTGTGACCCTTGCATTGAGGAGCTGTCCACAAGTTCTGTGGAACGCCCTTGATCAGCACTGCGCTGTCCTAAGCCATCGAGTGGCTCAGTTGGGGTCAGGACTTGCAGCTACATTTTCGCTGATCAATGGCCATTTCGGGGTGTAGCCCAGTCTTGGGAACCCCCTAGGTGAATACCCATTGGACAAAATGGGCGGCTGGTTTTTCTCCATATAACAAGTTACTAGATGTGGTTCAAATGCCATTGTTTGTGCCCTTATTGAAAAGCAGGGTAAACTACTGCTGAGCAATCGCGACCTTGAAAGGCTCTACATAAAGCACCTATCTAAGGACTCAAAAACTGCATCGATTGAAAAGAGTGTTCATGAACTCGACAGTTCTCTGTGTCTCGATCCGATCAAAGCAGTCGTTTTTCACAGGACAGTATCATTAGCTGTATAGCTGAGATGTCTTTGACCTCATCTTTACACTGCCAATCATATATGATATATATGTACATGCGAACGTCATGGACCTACGTGGTCCAACAAGAGCTCCGCGGATACAACTGCTACTTTGCTCAGGCTGAACTGTTCTCAACCATTTCTCCTTCGGGATGTCTTCCGTTTCTTCTTGCCTTGAGAGCTCTTCTTGTTCTTGAAGCTGCCTTAGTATCAGGATTTGGGAAGACATTCAAGTCCTGGCACAATGCAAATATTCGAAGTATCTTTTAGCCCGGCAGCTCTTTTCTTCAAAGCCTTTCACATTGACAAGAGGAAGAAGACGATACTCCACCTCGTGGGGCTGCAAAGGCTTCGAAGACCCTTGTTATTTCAATGCGATTTTGCGACCCGCCTCGACTAGATCTGCTTGATTCTTCAAAACCTGCAGTGAAAGTCTCCGGTTTCAGTCTCAACGCCAAAAATGGAATCCCATCTGTGAGACTTTTTGCTACCGCCCCCCGTAACGCAGTCAGTGAATTTGCTGATTTGTTTAGACTTCAACAAGTTTCGCGCGCAATCATGTCTGCATCCACACACGTCTTCTTCACATGATTTCACGTACCTTCGGGTGTGGTGGGGGGGTGGGGGGGGACCTGGTAACATCTCTGTGCACTTGCTCACATTGTTGACGCTACGGCCGACACGTCTCTCACATACCTTCGGGTGGGGTGGGGGGGGACTGGTAACGTCTCTGTGCACTTGCTCACATTGTTGATGCTACGGTTGACACGTCTCTCACATACCTTCGGGTGGGGTGGGGGGGACTGGTAACGTCTCTGTGCACTTGCTCACATTTTTTTGTGATTGTTCAGACTTTGGACAAGTGTTGGGATTACTCTAAAGATTTCATTCCACACACCGTCCATACAAAGATTGCGAAGAACAAATTTTTGAATGTTGAGATCTGGAACTATGTCTACCAATGGCAATGGCGATACAATCATCGCCATGCCTTGTAACAAATGGTTCCCAAAGTTCTCAAAGCACTTTGCAAATGAAACGTTGCACTTGCAAGTGACACAGGTAAAAAAGGCCGAGTCCGCTACGGGCGGCGGTACCTTGTTTATGGTTTCAGGGATCTTCAGGGTACATGTTTCACGATTTTCACCTTCGTTGCCAAGAGGCTTGACCCAGATCCTTGTACGCCTGTGGAGCTTCATCCCGCACTGCAGGGTGTGTATCACAAACGATGCCCTTCATCGACGCTTCAAATGCTTCCTGTGCGATGACCTTCTTGGCAGCCGTGCGGGACATGGTCCTCCGCTTTCACAATTGTCTGGTCGCCCACAAACCCCAAGCTGCTCAAGTCGGATCATCATCCCAATTCTGGGGCAGTAAACAAGTGGGTTTAAAATGGTTTAAAAAAACACCTCAAACAATGGGTAGAATGAGCCCTCTCCTGCCAGCTCCATGCGAGCAGCTCTGCCAGGAGCCTGCTCAAATCCAAGGCAGCGGAAAAATCATGGGTACCTGGTCTCCAATTGGAAGACATTCCATTATTGTAATATACAGTATAATATGTATGTATGTATGTATGTATGTATATATATATATGGGGATGGGTCAAAACCCTGGTACCTAGTGAACCCCAAAATAGCTGGTAAATGGATGTTCATCCCACTAAAAATTGTATTAATAGGTATTGATCCATACCCATATACACAGTATACATATACGTAAATCCGCCGACCCCAGCTGATGGCAGGGGGAGCGCGTCAGAGAAGAGATTACAAGCAGCAGCGATAGAAGCTTGCTGCAAGAACAAAACGCAACAGGCAAAGAGGCAAAAAGCAAGCACCTGGCCTGGCAGCTACATTTGAAGCTATTTCTTCTAGAAAACGACATTAGGCATTGGAGTCACTGGAGCCCCCCGGCGGAAAACCTCGTCTATCCTTAAGGGCATGGGCACGGCTGCGAGGCAAGTGGTTCATGCCGAACCTCACGGCTGCATTTGAAGCTCGTTTCTTCTCCGTTCAGAAAGCGACGTTAGGCACAGCCTCCCGGCGAGCACCCGGTCCATCCTTCGGGGGCATGGGGGTAAGGCTCTGCGAGGCACGCGTTTTCCGAGCTTGGCAGACGCATTTGAAGCTAATGTCTTCTCCGTTCAGAAAGCGACGTTAGGCACTGGAGCCTCCCAGCGGAGCATCTGGTCCGTCCTTCAGGGGCCAGGGTAAGGCCCTGCGAGGTAAGCGTTTTCTGATGCATGTGCCCTGCACGCCCCCCCAGACATCGGGAACGGCAAACAGTGTGGCGGCGCCACCGGAGAGAGTGAGGTCGGCTTCGGCGTAAAACTGGGTGGTGAACCCGTTAAACGCCCCGCCACCAGACACGATGGCACGCTTTGTGCCCCGGTCCACGCAGGTGAAGTTGGCTTCCTGCGATGGTCGTTAAAGCCGATGGATCGGCATTTTCCCTTGTGTTTTCGATTGGCATTATCTTTTAGATGATACCTTTTCAACATGACATTTGTCCATGGGATTTGGGATTGCAGCAAAAGGGGGTTATAGATTGTAGTGGGTATACGGTATGCCCTTATTCGAATATGAGAATATGTATCACTGAGTATGCAAAAGAATAGGCGTGTGCATACCTATGTACACATACATGCATCCACACATGCATATTCACAAACACACGCATAGTAACCCTACGCGTATCTCTATATATACGTATATTAAAAAAAAATATATATATATATATATAAACATATATTTGTGTATGTGTATGTGTATATATATATATATGTGTGTGTGTGTGCGTGCCTGTGTGACTCTATGTTTGCCAATGCATCTTGGTATACTGTATGTGGACCTTCCCCACCAGTCCTCAACCACCTGCAACAGGTCCGCCATAGGAGTCTCTGACAGAGAACTCCGGGCCAGTTGGACGTTAACGTCCTTTACATTGGTGCGGACCACCTTTGTCCCACTGCCCGGCTTCTTGGCCTTACGTGGCAATGCCGCTTCAATGTCTCTCATCTCCCACGAGTGGGGCTGGCACTGCAAATCCTTGCCACCCCACGCCTTGCAGCTATTCTGGCGAGAAGTCGCCTTCTGCAAGTCGGCCATCCTCGGCATACACCATATTTACTTTGCCCGCTAATTCAAGCTTACCTAACTGTAGTAAGCCCGCATTTGTAGAGTTAGTCAACTTAAAAGCCCCTTAAGTCTGATTTCCGGTACTTATAGCCCCGTTAGTTTAAACTTCCATGATTTAGGTTAAGCCCCATAAGCCGATTTTATAGCTTTTTGCAAATGCTGTAAACCATTTCGCAGACTGAGCTGCAAGTCCCACCAGTCGGAGCCTAAAACTCGACAAGTCGGCTAAACACCACCGCAAAATGGTATCTACTCCGTACATGCATACACAACTTAATAGCCACGTTAGCCTACTTATAAACCCCCTATGTGCACACTTAGCACAGCTAGATTCATACTTGTGATACTTACATAATCCGTGTGGCCCACCTAAACATGTAATAAGTCACATGACAATGCAAGTGGGATCCGTTTACGCAAGCTTGAAGCAAACCCTGCATAACGATAATGTGTTTTTTTAACGTATATGGGCCCATCAGAAGCAAATCGTAGCACCTAAGTTACACCACTTCCTTCAAAAGCCGGGGCGCAACTCACGCAGCTGGGTCATGCGTGCCCCGTCTTCACTTGCCAGGGCGCGCATGTGCAATGCAGCAGCCAGCTGGCAGTTTACAGAGGCGTCGCCAAAGGGTTCCGCCGTGTCCTTGAAGGAAACAAGATGCGCAAGTGAGGGAAGCACAGAAACTTATCCTTAACAGTTGTCACTCCAAGAAAACTTGAAACATGAGAAGCATCTTCGTCGACTCAGATGACAAATCAATCACTGGAAGCATCCAAATTCTAGAGGATTCCATTCCCTCGGTATGAGTTACTAAGGGAAATCATCCCCTAATGGCCTTCATTCAGATTAGTGAATAAACTACAACTAATCCAGATTCCCTCTCACAAAATGTCCAAGAAACCCCGACTCATTCTGGGCAATGTTTTGTTCGCCATAAAGTAGTCGGAACAACAGATGATATACCGTCCAGAAATCAACCGCGGCAATGGAAATTCCACCATTTCTGGAAATTTCCCCTTCCCTTTAGTTCAGGGATTTCCTGTAGTCATGTTTGATTACCCGGAGGGCATACAAGGTCATGCCTTGGATTCGATTTCGGGGACCCACAGGGATGTTTGTTGGTCTAAAAACCCCATGGAACTCTAGTTAAACTAGTCTGACAATTCTGGCCCACAATTACAAATGGTATTATGCCTCCAATCTAAAAGTTTATCACTGAAGAAGTGAAGTTTTTCTGGGCCATAAAATTTACAACTCTTAAGGGCTATATTTTTCTGCATTGGGTTATGTCTAACCTTCTGCTGGGATCCAACTTGTGCAACGTGTCGTGCAGTCCATTGGACATAAAAGGGACCGGGATGTGAAGGACAATGTCCAGAGCTCAGTTGCTGGTGCTGTCCAGCTGTAATGATGGGATTAAGCTGGTGATGTCAGCGGTAAGATTTCTCATGGAATATATAGCTGATTAATGTTAGCTAAATTGCTAGAACTTGGGGTTGTATGATAGTGTTTCAATCTAGATTATACAATTTAATGGGTTTAACATTCTTCTTAACAGGGGCGCGCTACCTTGTATGAGCCATTGAAAATACCTCTGTTGATTGGTTGATCCGTTGGAAGTTATACCACTGCGGGGGTTCTTGGGAGCTAGGAACTAACCCACAATACGGATACCCATTTTCCAACCAGTATCATCGGGTTAGATAGGCGTATTTTGTCATGATATACATTTACATATATATATATACAAAATATTGTCATGGCGCACATATATATATATACCTATACCTATACTACCTATATATATATATGTGTGTGTGTGCGTGTGTCATTAGATGTTATTTATACGTGCATATTGTTTACTACAATCAACATCCCTGGGGAGATGTTTAGGGTGAACGGCAGGGAAAGAGAGGCAGAAATGGTGAAGCGGAATGTCTTTAGCCATTTCCAACAGCGCTAGAAATGGATCAATGGGAGCATCAAAAAACAACTGAGCAGCAAGTGTTTTCATGAGGTGTCTTCACTACGGGCACATGCACTTGAGCATGGCGCCGCTAATTTCTTCTCCATCAGAAAGCGACGTTAGGCACTGCTCCTGCCACGGAGCACCTGCTCCGTCCTTCAAGGGCATGGGGGTAAGGCTCTGTGAGGCACGCTTTTCCGAGCCTGGAAGCTGCATTTGAAGCTAATTTCTTCTCCGTACCGAAGGGTAAGGCTCTGCGAAGCATGCATTTTCCGAGCCTGGCAGCTACATTTGAAGCTACTTTCTTCTCCGTTCAGAAAGCGACGTTACAGAACATGCAAACACAACTGGCCTGCTGAATGCTGCCAAATCGCAGAATGCAAACCAAAGGTCTACGAATGCCTGGGCAATTTCGTGTCATAACTTCGGTGCACGCGACTGCCGTGCCTGCCGTGATCTTTTCCGTGGTGGTTCCTGCCAAGGTGCCGTTTTGCAGGACTCTTTTTGCATGTGTATATTATCCACTGTGATCCCCACTGTGCCACGCACATCCCGGCAGATGCGCTGACGCATTTTGCGCCGTATCTCGGGTCATGGATCCCGACACTTTCCAACATGTACAAGATACCTTTTTACACACGTCACTATTTTTTTGGTACACCTATGGCCTGAGTAGCTCTTACAGTCCCTATAATTAACTTGGCACGTGCATCTGCAAAGATGATGTGACACCTACGGAACCACAGTGGGTGCATCAATCCTGCAGCCACGTTCTGCTGGAGAGTGTGGCTAGACACCTGGCTGCAGAGCGCCGCCGGGGCGTCTGCACTGCGCGCACCAATCCATCCGTATCTCCGGCCTTCAAAAGCTCTCTTAGCTTTTGCGGCCCCCCACAGCCCCTCGCCAGCAAGGACAAGTTGGTACGTCGTGGACCGGCCGCTTCTCGCCGAAGCAGTTGTGGTGCTGGAGTAAAAACTTCTGTGCAAAAGGGCCATATGCCTGCCCGGCTGCCCGGGACAGGCTCGACATGGCCTGTGAAAAAAAGACGCGCCCCAGAGTGGGTTGCTCCTGCAACAGCCAGCTGGGAACACATGGGATCTGGGAAAATGCCCGGGCAGACGGGTCAAAGTCCCAGTCCTGCTGCACCCAGGGACCTCTAATCCGAATGGTTTTAATCTCCAGATAGGCGATAAACCACCAATGGTTCAGAAGCCGGAACCCTCCAGAACTAGAAGAATCAATCCTCCAAGTCTCATCATGCATACCGCTGCATACCTAGAATTCTGATAGTACTGAACTACACCTCAGACCCGAGGAATTCATCTTACACATTCCCACCTTTTTTACCGAATGCTATTGGCCTCAGACCCAAGCATTTCCCAGCTTCATCATGCACACCCGGAATTCTTTCTGAAAACTTGTGCGCCCCACAAAAATGATCAATATGATGAATATTCTTATACATATATTCATAAAATTCAAAAATGCATGTAATTTTTGGGGGCGAAATGCGAAGAGGGTTGCTTCGGCGAATGCAAACCCTGGTCTGAGATGCCTGAAAAAATTGAACAAAATGTGAAACCCATGTGTACGAGGATTGGAATTCTAAGACTTGACGTGGTGAAGAGTTCACCCCACAGACTTTACATGCCTCGAGGATTTCCGGGGAGAAGCCTTCGGCAAGCCAACCAAACAACCACCCAACCAACCAACCAACCAACCACAACCAACCAACCAACCAACCAACCAAGCAACCAACCACCCAATCAACCAACCACCCAACCAATCACCCAACCAACCACCCAACCAACCAACCAACCAACCAAGCAACCAACCACCCAATCAACCAACCACCCAAACAATCACCCAACCAACCACCCAATCCCCCAACAACCCAACCACCCAACCACCCAACCACCCAACCAACCAACCATCCAACCACCCAACCAACCAACCACCCACCCAAACAAACATCCAATCAACCAACCACCCAACCAACCAACCAACAACCAACCAACCACAACCAACCACAACCAACAACAACCAACAACAACCAACAACCAACAACAACCAACAACAACCAAAGACAACCAACAACAGCCAGCAACAACCAGCAACAACCAACAACAACCAACCAACAACAACCAACCAACCAACAACAACCAACAACAACCAACAACAACCAACAACAACCAACAACAACCAACCACAACCAACCACAACCAACAACAACCAACCAACCAACAACAACCAACCAACCACAACCAACCAACCAACCAAAACCAACCAACCAACAACAACCAACCAACCAACCAACCAACAACAACCAACCAACCAACAACAACCAACCAACCAACCACAACCAACCACAACCAACCAACCAACCAACCAACCAACCAACCAACCAAGCAACCAACCAACCAACACAACACCAACCAACACCAACAACCAACAACCAACAACCAACAACCAACAACCAACAACCAACAACCAACAACCAACAACCAACAACCAACAACCACCACCAACCAACAACCCCAACCAACAACCAACAACCAACCAACCAACAACCACCAACCAACAACCAACACAACAACAACAACAACAACAACAACAACAACAACAACAACAACAACAACAACAACAACAACAACAACAACACCAACAGCAACAGCAACAGCAACAACAGCAACAACAACATCATCAACAACAACAACAGCCAACAACAACCAACAACAACAGCAACCAAAAATAACAGCAACCAACAACAACAACAACAGCAGCAGCAGCAACAACAAGAACAGCAACAGCAACCTTAACGACAACATTATAACACATTAACAACAACAACAACAACAACAACAACAACAACAGCAGCAACAACAACAACAACAGCAAAAACAACAACAACAACAACGACAACAACAACAACAGCAATAACAACAACAACAACAACAACAACAACAACAACAACAACAACAACAACAAGAAGAACAACAAGAACAACAACAACAACAGCAATAACAACAACAGCAATAACAACAACAACAACAACAACAACAACAACAACAACCTTAACAACAACATTATAACATTAACAACAACAACAACAACCACCAACACCACCACCACCAACAACAACAACAACCACAACCACAACCACAACCACAACCACAACGACAACGACAACGACAACGAGCAACGAGCAACGACCAACGACCAACGACCAACGACCAACGACCAACGACGACGACGACGACAACGACAACGACAACGACAACGACGACGACGACGACGACGACGACGACGACGACGACGACGACGACAACAACAACAACAACAACAACAACAACAACAACAACAACAACATTAACATGAACATGAACATTAAGAAGGAGAAGAAGGAGAAGAAGAAGAAGAAGATCAAGAGCGGGCTGGAGCAGTTAGGGAACCGCGATGGTGCACAAAGGCTCAATTATATGGTGCACTAACACATACATCATATGTGCGCCTTTTGCCATCGCGGAGTAGCCCCGCTTGCCGTGCCAAGCCTTTCTACTCACTGCCATGTGTCTTTTACAACTTTCTCTGCATGTGACTCTATCCATAAACATCCTTGCTCAACACTGGTAATGTGCACTCTGTCCTCCTCTTTCGCGCTACCCGCAGCACTCTGCCCTTCTCCGGGGACTTGATCACACTTTCGGCCTATCTCTGCTGCTCTGGGCCCTCAGCTTCCCTACAATACCAACCCTGTTCAAACCTGTGCTGCCAACACAGACTCCTCAGCTTGACAGCCACGAACGCCTCCAACCCAAAGGGCATCGCCGGTGTGCGAAGCTCTACAAGATAATCTTTATTGGGAAATGATGATATATGATATAGATATATATATATATGATATATAGGTCATGGGATTTGTTGACCCATTAATCTGTTTAAAAATAGGTAGCACAACCCCAGATCTCCGCTGAAATGTTGGCCTCGAGCTCCCCGCCCTTTGACGATGTAGCTTCCCACCTTAGCAACGAAGAAACATGTCCTGCTCTCTGGCGGTTTCAGAATGCTTTCACATCTAAATATCTTTCTCTATATATGTATATGATATATATATATATGTATATGATATATATATATATGTGTATATGATATATATATATATATGTATATGATATATATATATATATTGATATATATATATATACAGATAATGTGGTAAAACCAAAAATTCCTCGGGCAAACAGAGATGTTCTGCACTCTGAGGCCACGCCACTCCCATGCTTCCTGGGATGATGCCATACTCTCCTTCTCGTGCACTTGTCGCACCCTTCCGTGTCACCCACAGCGTTTTCTCCTGCGAATGATTCGAATGCTCGATTTGGTGAAGATGTTGACATATACTGTGCTTCGATACTATCCGCTTCAGAAATGTGTGCTTCAAAAAGTCAAAAGCCAAAGTGTTTTTTTCACCAAAGTCTACCCACTTCAGCTGACCTGGACCTGCTGAGATCTGGAGTCGTAGAAGCTACACTTTTCACACCTCGAAAAACTCCGTCGGTGCAAAAAAAGGTAACAACTGTCCAACTTGGCGTGTGGACTGGACAGGTGAAGTGGCAACGATCCCATCCCAATATTAAACACTCCCATTCTATGGTTCCAAAGATGTGATTCTCCCCTACTAAAGCATGGTTCCGTTTAGGGGGTGTTTAATATTAGGGGGAAGGGATTATGATGCAATATGTTCCGTGCCAGCATTCTGTAGCTGAGTTTTTGACTGGCAGAAATTATGATGTGCATTCACTGCGCGGGACAAATCCGCTTTCTTGCCCGTCACCTCTTCGATTGTGGCAATCATAAGCTCAAGCATACTGCGTCTGTTCTCTCGCGCATAAGCTTGACCTGAGGATTTTCGAAAAAGTCTTGTCAGAAATATAGAGCAGGTGCGACCAAATCTGACGTTCTCAACTCCATGCAGCTGTGAGACACCATTGCATGTCTTTCAAGTAGCTCCTTCCGTCTTTGCTTTCGACATCCAAGTAGTTCAAAGATCCATGAAGACCCCTCAATGCCACGCCCCTGCAGCATTCAACTGTACACTCTGGATATGTATATATACATATATACACATGGATAACAATGTTGTCTTTTGCTTTGACAATTCAATGCACCAGACAACTGCAAACAATATGTATGCCGCTGAATGAATAGCTTGTGTTGGCATCGTAAAGTGGTCTACGTTACTTGCATAACATACACACTGCATCACTGATGCTCTTCATTCGGTGTTTTGTTTTGCTCTTCAGGGTTCAGGTGTTGGTGGTCATTTGTCTCTACAGTTGGCTGGTACTTACATTCGTCTTTTGTGGTGGTCAGTGTGTTGCTGTATTGCACTTCCTCAGGCAAGCTGCGCAGTTGTCATGTGTCATTTGTGGGAAATTCGTTGGAATTGGGCGAGGAAAAGCATTTAAGAAAGAAGCCGGGTGCGCAAAGCACGGCAAAAGCATGAATTGCCAAAAAACGAAGCTAGACAAAAAGAAACCAAAGGAGCACGAGATATCGAACCAAACATGCCCCATTTCAGGGGCTATTAGTCGGTTCAACATTGAAAGGGTTTGCAGCACACTCAAAGCCGCCTTTCACCGGCAACGCGATCATAGAATGAGGCCGTTGTATTGCCCACATTGCGACTGCCACTGTGGAGCATGCACCAGACCTGCTTCGCTACGACCATGCGCCAAGCAAGGCCAACGGATATCGGTCAAGAGAAATGGACCCGCAAATGGCTAGTCATTTCCATTAAACCATCCATGTCCGGTCCATGTCCATCCTTTTTGAAGGGTCTTGACCCATAGCCCGTGTATAGCCAACTATCTAAATACTGCAAGTTCAAGCAAAGGGAGAGAGCCTGTCCATCACCTTCAGAGTATACAACTTCCAGGAAATGATTGCCGCCACCCAGGGTTCCCAATTGCAGGCCGATCTTCGGCTCTTTCTCAATCCGCTTTGCCAAGTAGTCTGTGGGATGATGTTCTCCTCAAAAGGAAACCAAATTTCTGTCCCTGTGAAAACACGTTGCTATGGCTATGGGTCAAAATTCTGTTGGGAGAAAAGAAGATGTTGGTCATCTTTCCGAGTAGACCAAGCATGACCAAGCCATTTGAATTGGTGCTCAATTTTGACCGGTATGAACTGTATCGACTGTATCAGTGCGATGGGTTTTCAAGGCTGCTACGTTGAGAGCCAAGGAACTAGTGATATCCTTCAAAGTTTCTTTTGCCCATGGCAGTTGCGCATCGTGAGAATCGAAAGATGTGGGAATCCTGGCCTTGATCAAACTTTGCAGCCGGTGTAGGTCTTCGTCAGACAAGTCATCTTTGTACAAGCCCTCGATGGGAACGGCACACATGCCACAGCCAATGTCCACGCCAACAGCGTTGGGGCAAACGTACTTCTCGGAAGCAAAAACCGCACCAATGGCTACTCCTGCCGTAGGAGCAGGAGATCCGGTTGCCGCAATGCATCACAAAGTTGCACAAGCACAATTGTCACAATTCTGTCTGACACTCAATCGAGGCGATTAAGGTTCTACTGACAAGCTGTCAACGAATAAACTTCGCAGCCATCCTTTGCCCATGTGCACATCCGGCATCGCAGCAACATGACCAACAGGTAACGGTGATTCCTTAGTGCCCGAAGTTCAGTGCTGTGGCACCCAGACATGCACAGAGTTGTATAGGCTATTCTAAATTCATATGACCTGTGTTTGCCATGTGACATGTGTATATATATATACAGTACGTACATACATACATACATACATACATAGATACATACATACATTACATAACATAACATAACATTACATTACATTACATTACATTGCATTACATACATACGTATGTGTATATATACGCGCAACGCCTGGGTTTTGCCCAGGCGTTGCAGCGTAGAGGTTTCCCATTCACAAACAAATGATGTTGCAAATTACCGTAATTCCTATGGGGAAAATAACAAAGGTACTAGGGACTATTAAACAAACAAGGTCAAAAAAAACGAAATTCCTATGGGAAAAACAAAACGGCATAACATTTGAAATTCCTATGGGAAAAACAACAAAGGTACTAGGAAATTTTAAACTCTCAAATCGTGAAACTTAACATTCAATTAGGAAGATCAACAAAGATATTAGGGAATATTAAACTCCCACCCCCGTTAAACCTTAAATTCCTATGGGGAAAACAACAAAGGTACTAGGGACTATATTTAAAAAAAAAATGTCAAAACACCCGAAATTCCTATGGGAAAAACAAAAACGGTATTAGGGAATATTAAACTCCAACCCCGTTAAACTTTATAATCAATTGGGAAGATCAACAAAGATATTAGGGAATATGAAACTCCCACCCCCGTTAAACTTCTACATTCATTGAAGATCTTCAATAAGGGTTTAATTCTCCCACCCCCGTTAAACTTCTACATTGATTGAAGATCTTCAATAAGGGTTTAATTCTCCCACCCCCGTTAAACTTCTACATTCATTGAAGATCTTCAGTAAGGGTTTAATTCTCCCACCCCCGTTAAACTTCTACATTCATTGAAGATCTTCAATAAGGGTTTAATTCACCCACCCCCGTTAAACTTCTACATTCATTGAAGATCTTCAATAAGGGTTTAATTCTCCCACCCCCGTTAAACTTCTACATTCATTGAAGATCTTCGATAAGGGTTTAATTCTCCCACCCCCGTTAAACTTCTACATTCATTGAAAATCTCCAATAAGGGTTTAATTATCCCACCCCCGTTAAACTTCTACATTCATTGAAGATCTCCAATAAGGGTTTAATTCTCCCACCCCCGTTAAACTTCTACATTCATTGAAGATCTTCAATAAGGGTTTAATTCTCCTACCCCCGTTAAACTTCTACATTCATTGAAGATCTTCGATAAGGGTTTAATTCTCCCACCCCCGTTAAACTTCTACATTCATTGAAGATCTTCAATAAGGGTTTAATTCTCCCACCCTCATTAAACTTCTACATTCATTGAAGATCTTCGATGAGGGTTTAATTCTCCCACCCCCGTTAAACTTCTACATTCATTGAAGATCTCCAATAAGGGTTTAATTCTCCCACCCCCGTTAAACTTCTACATTCATTGAAGATCGTCAATAAGGGTCTGATGATGTTGATGATGATGATGATGATGGTGGTGATGATGATGATGATGATGATTATGTTGATGATCATGATGTTGATGATGATGATGACGATGATGATGATGATGATGATGTTGATGATCATGATGTTGATGATGATGATGATGATGCTGATGATGATGACGATGACGATGACGATGACGATGACGATGACGATGACGATGATGATGATGATGATGATGATGATGATGATGATGATGATGCGTCGCCCGTCGTCATTGCGGGTCCGGGCAAAACCCAGGCATTTGCGGTATATATATAATAATGTATATACTAGTATATACATTGTATGTATATATAGTATATAAATATGCACATACATATAGAGACGGAGAGAAAGAAACCAAGAACAAAGAACACATCCTCCTCCTCCCATGCCAAGCAGCTGCCAAGCTAATGAGCTGCTCCAAGGCCTTCGGGGCTATGGCTCCCAATCATTTGCCACAATGGCAGAAAAAAACTTTATTATATTGTACTATACAGGCTGGACTATATATATAATAATATATATATATTATATATATATACAGATATACATATTTGTGTGGATCCTGAATGGTATGAGCATGATGAGCATACTATCTTTGAGGATCCATCCGATGTCGATCAACTTGGCCTGCTCCTCCACCTCGTTCCTTGGGGCATAGAGGACCACCTTAACTTTGCGATCATGGGCCGATGATGGGCCGATGGGTTTTCGAACAACGACATGTTGCAAAGGGCACCAGCTGGGCTCACCGCTGGCACACCCTTTGTCTCAATCATTTCAGGCAAGGCATTGCTGGAGCTGTTAGAGCTGCTGGAGCTCCTCCAACCAGTTTGTCTGTGGTCTTCTGTGGTCTTCTGGGCGAACTTGACATATGTACACCTGCATGATGATCATGATGTATGTTCTGTGAATATGTGTATATTATATCTGGTTGGTGGTTTCAATCCCTCTGAAAAACATGAAAGTCAGTTGGGATGATTATTCCCAATATATGGAAAAATAAAAAATGTTCCAAACCACCAACCAGATATATATATAATATTGTAGTATATTGTGCTGTGTACTCACATACCATCACATACCATATCAGTGGCGGAAAATCTGCACCACTTAGCTCCACAAAATGGTCCTGGCCACTTTGCGACGCCAACATACGGCCAGAGCCGTTGCCAACAATGTAGATCTGCCTATAAGCACAAAGATTGGCTGGAGGGACCAGCACATCATATGTATCATGAGGGGGTGTCACAACAAATCTTGATTATCATTTCAGTGAAAAACGATGGCGATCAAAAGGGTGTCCCCATTGTTTCGACCGAGTGTGAAATTCACGAGTATTCGGGCCTAGTTGTTTCCAGCTCCTCTGAAACTGGATTGGAGTAGGGCTGCCAACCGTTTTGTGTAGTGCGCAAAGGCTGCCATGGCAACTGTGGATGGCAACTACAGCTGCCATCTCACAAGTTTCACATAAACGGCAATGCCACGAGTGACGTTCGTTTGTTGGTTCCGATCGTGGATTATGAAACATCCAAGTATTTGATGGAGATATAGAGAGAGACAGTATCATTGGGTAGGATAGCCCCTATGCCTATAATCATCAGCCAAGTAAGTGTTTGGTAGCTGCTCATATTTGCTGGAACGTGCTACAGTAAATATCAAGCTCGTTTTTTGGTTTTGTCACACCCGTTCGCAGCTGTTCGCAGTACTGGTATGTGAGAACATTGCTGCATCTTTTAGATATCTCGACAAATATATACACAATGAAGCTTTGAAACAAATGGTACATGAAATAGTCTTCAAATGCACACACTCTTCACTCTATCGGAGAATGAAGCCTTAAATGTTGCAAATAGATGCAAATAGTTTATCGCTCGCAAGATCTGCTCTTTGAAGTTTTGCTAGCTGTGTTGAAGTCTCTGCAGCGTTTCGGATACTGATTTTGAGATGTGTACAATCTGCATGGAAAAAATGTGCATATTCCAAGTCCCGACAGAGGCTGGTGCCCATGGTTCTGGGTGCCATGTCGCTGATGACGACATCAAGCATTGGAACCTGAGATTCACCAGTGCAAACTTTGTCAAAGCCCGCTTTGCATAATTTCGATCAAGGTGCATTTGAGCCCTTGAACTTGTAGGCATCCTGACAAAACTCTGAATGACCTTCTCACTGGCTTCTGTGACTTCTGGTTTTGCATCTTGAGCTGGCCTCAACTCGCGTCTTCGCATTTTGTGGCAACGGAAAGTCAACTTCTTTCAGATCAATTCCTTAGAGGACAAAGCTCTATGACCCGTCTGAGTCGTCAGACGGGTGGCTTCACACGGGTCTTGGCAGTGCAAAAAGTCTGAGGCCTAGTCCGAGAACACGTCCCTTTGATCCAATCTTCCTGGGCATCCACGTCTGAGAGTTGGCTTAAACTGGCCAAGCCGCTAAGCCCACTGACGACTGGGTCAAAACATAGTTGGATCAGTATGGTTCCAAGATTCCTCTTTCGTGCAAATCAGCTTTGAGAACTCATCTATCAAAACCAAGCCATCTTTTCCTAAAAATGCCTGTCCGGCATATCCGGCATATCCTCCAAAAGTGAGTGCAAGCTGCGCTGTACTAAGATGGTGGTCATCTCAGTCATCTCACGATATCAAGCAGAATGGCTTCGACTCTGTGCTGTCAGCTCCAAGATGCTCCAAGGGACCTGGCAGCATAGAGAGTCCATGACCCAGGCCAACAGCCAAGGTCCAGGACTTTGTCACCTGACAGATCTGAGTCGAACCAACAAAGACACGAAATGCTCGGATGACAATCACAGACAATTGTTGAATGCTCCGATGCTCCCATTGCTCCCATTGCTCCCATTCGGGCCTGGGCGAAAGAGTTCCAGCCTAGACATGTTGAGGACAGCACAGCGATCGCAGCAACATTGATTACATTGAGACATCGCAGCATTGTCGGATGTCGGATCTAGTCAAGTCATTAGTGAAGTCTGACGTCTCGGAGCTCTTGGAGCCTTCTGTCCAGTTCCTCCAGTTTGTAGTAAGCTCGAGCAGGCCTCGGCAGGATCTGATCGATCTGGAACTTGCACTTTGCACGTTGCATATCTTTGCATCAGGTTACGCTCTCGACTAGGTTCCCAAACACACCCTCCTCTCTGGCTTTCCGAGTCCAGTACCTCAAGGGTAAAAAAAAAACGCTTACATGATTTACATGGCTACAGCGGCTACAAGTAACCGTTAGTAACCGTTCAATTTTCAGGCGCGCTCATCTGAAGTATAGTCTGCTTCTTTTGCCTGCGAACAACACCATGAGGCCAGTGAGGCCAGTGAGGCTGTGAGGGGTTTGACACGCTCGCCTCACTCCGTATCGCGGCAGCGGCCTCAGCCTGAGGCCCTGACCCGCAAAGAAATGAACGTCCTCTGTGAGGATCTTCTCCACCTTCCAGCCGAAGGCATCATACATGGCTTGACCAAACATTTTGAACAAGGCCTGTCGAGGGCAAAGAATGTGGCTGGCCTCAAGAGCCACTAATAGAGACTTGTGTGCAACATCAACAGCAACTTTGGGCGCATTGAAAATGTGCTTACTGAAAGATATCAGATAGCCATTGAGAGGGGATGTGATTTTGAGACATTCTACTAAGTCACTACCTCTACTACAAACGGGTTGCAACTTAAACTGAGATTCAGGCCATCGTAGTAGCAATCCAACAAAGCACACCTTTGAAACAAGTTCAACTGACACTTCCTTCATCACTGAACTGCCAAAAAAACAGCCCTCACTGCGATGAAGGAAGTTCTGTGCTGCGAAAATCAGTTCCACAAATCTGACCAAGGCCAAGGCCACGCCAAAGGCGCAGAGTCTCATTGAGACGCAGTCATTACGTAGCTGAGAGGTGCTGAGAAGCTCTGAACTGGCTCCAAGCCCCGGGGTGGACTCAATGGTTGCTGGCTGCTGCGGATGCAGATTTTCCACGGGCAAAGATCTGTCTGACAAATAGAAGACACACTAGAGTGACTGCGGTTCTCAAGTAATTGGAAGTAGTTTGATGGGATCGATTCAGTTTGGTTTCAGTGCGTATAGTGTGTTATGTTTCTTTGGCAAGCTTGAGGTATGAGGAGCAGGCACCATGCATTTGCAAACATAGCTAGATTCAAGTTTATGACGTTTTTTGGGGATCAGTCAATTGATAGGATCGGTCTTCCGCAGCAGCCAAGTTTTTTCAAACGTAGATTGGACGGTACAGTTCGGAGTGAGACCTTTGGCGACGTTTGGCCAAGGCAAGGGCTGTTTTGTCAGCCGTTCGGACCGTTCGGATAGTCAAAAGAGCTTCGCTCTTCTCATGACGGTAAGAAACTCCTCCTCCTGCAAGACCCCATCACCAGACTCATCTGCCTCAAGCATCGATACTTTGTTTCAGGCAAAGTCCTCCAAACCCCCGAGTAGTTTGCTAGTTGCGGCTCTGGGTGCCTGGCATCATCCATCATTTCTTGCAGCTCTTGGTCACTGAAGGCAAGGCCAAGATCATCTGAGACCGCCCTCAAGCTACGCCAAGTGATGCCGCCAATCCTGCAAAAGGAAATGGTCATCTGGGAATGACTCAGTCTCTAAGTTTCTAATCTCTCTGTCTCCCTCTCTCTGTCTCTCTCTCTCTCTGTCTCTCTCTCTCTCTCTCTCTTTCTCTCTTTCGGTTTTCGGTCTCTAAACACATTGAAGGTGCAATTGCACGATTGCAAACATGGTCAGAATCCCTTCTGAGGAGCAAGCCCTGGCTCGACGAAAAGGGGATAGGCCTCCAATTTCCAATCAAAGTACCAAGATTTGAACACGAGTTGCAACAGAGAGAGACTGAGGATGACCGGTCATTCCTGTATGCTGGCCTTTCTTATGATGGCAGATGGCTTGCGTCCCCTTAGCACCCATTGAATCTAGGTACTTTGCAAAGCAAACAATGGAGTGATACTTGAGAAAGGCTGTGGAATGGAGCCAAAATTGTCAGAAGATTAGAAACTAGGATCATCTAAGATGCAAGCAAGACTTTGGGAGCCATCATTTGCAGAAACTCATCTAGTTCTATTTCTCCTGAGCCGTCCTGTGGCGAGATAGATCAAGTAGAAACGGGTACGACACCACGATTTAAACTTATTGATCCAAACCACGTTTGGAAACGGTTGAACCACAAAAAAAAACGCTAGTTTTAAACCACGATTTGGTTTGTTTAGGCAGCACGTATATTAACCAAATCTCGCTTGTAAACCTTTTTTGGGGTTCATTTGGTTCATTTGAGAATTATATGCATATGAATGAGTGCTTCTAGTTCGGAAAAGGGATTATCCGCCGACCCCGGCCTTTGCCAAGGCAGGGGCGGCGCCTGGGACCACCGGAGGTGTGGAACTTGGCTCTCGGGTCGCAAGCAAAGGCACACGCCATCAACACCTACATGCCCCTGCCATCTGTTTTTCAGGACGTTCAAGACTGCCGTTTGCCCGCCCTCAAACCCCCCAAACGCTCCCGCAGGCCTCCAAGGCAACAACTCTTACTCTTACAGCTACGTGCCCCTGCCATCTGTTTTTCAAGGGGTTCAAGACTGCCGTTTGCCCGCCTTCAAACCCCCCAAACGCTCCCGCAGGCCTCCAAGGCAACAACTCTTACAGCTACATGCCCCTGCCATCTGTTTTTCAGGGGGTTCAAGACTGCCCTCTTACAGCTACGTGCCCCTGCCATCTGTTTTTCAGGGGGTTCAAGACTGCCGTTTGCCCGCCCTCAAACCCCCCAAACGCTCCCGCAGGCCTCCAAGGCAACAACTCTTACAGCTACATGCCCCTGCCATCTGTTTTTCAGGGGGTTCCACACTGCCGTTTGCCCGCAGCCCCCCAAACGCTTCTGCATCTGTTTTTCAAGGGGTTCAAGACTGCCGCTTTACCCCCCTTAAACCCCCCAAACGCTTCCGCAGGCCTTCAAGGCAACAACTCTTACAGCTACATGTCCCTGCCATCTTGGGTTCAAGACTGCCGTTTGCCCGCCCTCAAACCCCCCAAAGGCAACAACTCTTACAGCTACATGTCCCTGCCATCTGTTTTTCAGGGGGTTCAAGACTGCCGTTTGCCCGCCCTCAAACCCCCCAAACGCTCCCGCAGGCCTCCAAGGCAACAACTCTTACAGCTACATGCCCCTGCCATCTGTTTTTCAAGGGGTTCAAGACTGCCGTTTCCCCGCCCTCAAACCCCCCAAACGCTCCCGCAGGCCTCCAAGGCAACAACTCTTACAGCTACATGTCCCTGCCATCTGTTTTTCAGGGGTGTCAAGACTGCCGTTTGCCCGCCCTCAAACCCCCCAAACGCTCCCGCAGGCCTCCAAGGCAACAACTCTTACAGCTACATGTCCCTGCCATCTGTTTTTCAGGGGGTTCAAGACTGCCGTTTGCCCGCCCTCAAACCCCCCAAACGCTCCCGCAGGCCTCCAAGGCAACAACTCTTACAGCTACATGTCCCTGCCATCTGTTTTTCAGGGGGTTCAAGACTGCAGTTTGCCTGGCCTCAAACCCCCAAACGCTTCCAACCCTCCCGCAGGCCTTCAAGGCAACAACTCTTACAGCTACATGTCCCTGCCATCTGGGGTTCAAGACTGCCGTTTGCCCGCCCTCAAACCCCCCCAAAGGCAACAACTCTTACAGCTACATGTCCCTGCCATCTGTTTTTCAAGGGGTTCAAGACTGCCGTTTGCCCGCCCTCAAACCCCCGAAACGCTCCCGCAGGCCTCCAAGGCAACAACTCTTACAGCTACATGCCCCTGCCATCTGTTTTTCAGGGGGTTCAAGACTGCCGTTTGCCTGCCCTCAAACCCCCCAAACCCCCAAAACGCTTCCGCAGGCCACTCTTACATCTATACATGCCCCTGCCATCTGTTTTTCAGGGGGTTCAAGACTGCCGTTTGCCCGGCCTCAAACCCCCCAAACGCTTCCGCAGGCCTACAAGGCAACAACTCTTATCTGTTTTTCAGGGGGTTCAAGACTGCCGTTTGCCCGCCCTCCCCCAAACTTCCAACCCTTCCGCAGGCCTCCAAGGCAACAACTCTTACAGCTACATGCCCCTGCCATCTGTTTTTCAGGGGGTTCAAGACTGCCGTTTGCCCGGCCTCAAACCCCCCAAACGCTTCCAACCCTCCCGCAGGCCTCCAAGGCAACAACTCTTACAGCTACATGCCCCTGCCATCTGTTTTTCAGGGGGTTCAAGACTGCCGTTTGCCCGCCCTCAAACCCCCGAAACGCTCCCGCAGGCCTCCAAGGCAACAACTCTTACTATTACAGCTACGTGCCCCTGCCATCTGTTTTTCAGGGGGTTCAAGACTGCCGTTTGCCCGCCCTCAAACCCCCCAAATGCTCCCGCAGGCCTCCAAGGCAACAACTCTTACAGCTACATGCCCCTGCCATCTGTTTTTCAGGGGGTTCAAGACCCAAGAATGATCAATAGGGGGGGTCGGCGGCACCCGGGCGCTAGCCCATTCTATATTATAAGTCGATGATGTGGTATTCCATTTGTAAATTCTTTGGTAGTTTGTTTTTTTCGCAAAGTTTTCAAAGCAATGGGATTTTAAGGAATTTTAAGGAAGCAATGGAATTTTGAGTAGGAGTTTTAAAGGAAATGTAAAGAATTTTACGGGAATTTTAATGAATTTTAATAAATTTTAAGGAATGTTAAGGAATTTTAAGAAAAAATTATGTTTGAGGGCGGAATTTAAAATTTAAGGACGAAAGTTTTGGGCTAAGGACGAAAGTTTTGGGCTAAGGACGAAAGTTTTGGGCTAAGGACGAAAGTTTTGGGCTAAGGACGAAAGTTTTGGGCTAAGGACGAAAGTTTTAGGCTAAGGACGAAAGTTTTGGGCTAAGGACGAAAGTTTTAGGCTAAGGACGAAAGTTTTAGGCTAAGGACAAAATTTTAAGGTTAAGGACGAAATTTTGGAATTTTCAGGATTTTAAGGATTTTTTAAGTTTACGGACGAAATTTTAAGTTTAAGGACGAAACTTTAAGTTTAAGGACAAAAGTTTTAGTTTAAGGACGAAAGTTTTGGGCTAAGGACGAAAGTTTTAGGCTAAGGAAGAAAGTTTTAGGCTAAGGACGAAAGTTTTGGGCTAAGGACAAAAGTGTTGCATTAGAAAGAATCAATAATCATAAACCTAGCACTAGAAAGAATCACAAACCCAAAATGACAGACCTAGCAAAGAATCACAAACCCAGAATCCCAGAATCACAGACCTAGTAAAGAATCACAAACCCAGAATCACAAACCTAGAAAGAATCACAAACCTAGCAAGGAGAGATGCTCAGGAACATGCCTGCAATACAATAAATAAATGCTGAAGGCAATTTTTTATGTGATATACTAGACAAAACATATAGAAAACAATAAATCGTGGCCAAGGTGACAAAAAAAAAAACGTAGTATGGGTATAAGATTAATTCGAGGTACATGAAAGTCAAGTCATAGTAACAAGAATTCAATCGTGGTTGGGGCCCCATCTGAGATCGAGTATACAGCCACTATGAACATCCAAAAAAACTAAGGCCACATCTGGCAGCATTCGGAAGAATCCAATATTCAAAACAATTCCAAAGCCGGAGTCCTTGTCCACAGCCATCATCATTGCCACAAGTTCCTTCCAATCCAGCTGACAATTGAACAGGATCGATCGAATCAATTCTTGCAAAATGCACTGCGCAGAGATGCAATGGATTTATAAAACAAGAGAGTAGCTTCAGAATCAAGTCCTCTCGAGTTGTTGAAGAGAAGCCGAGCACTTGCATCAAGCCCTCACAGACACCCCACTGCCCAACTCTCGACTCTGACAGACTCTGACACTTAGGTGAAATACGTTTGCAATCGCGAAAATCACAAATTGCACAAAGTCCAGCAATGATTGCAGAGTCTCCGAAAACAATCCGCCTTGAGCTCAGTGTTGTCGATAGCAGCTGATCCATCGACATCATACCTCTGTTAGAACCAACGGGCGCCCGGTTACCAACCCTACATCGAGCTACATTGACACAACCTGACAGGAGGCTCAGAATACACTCAGAGCACAGGTCAAAGACTTCCTTAAGCTCTTGCTTTTGCTCCTCGCGGTTTCTGTTCGAGTTGTGAAGAGTAAGGAGTGGCACTTGATCGAAGAATCTGGGGAAAAATCAGCTCAACGTAGAGAGAGGTCATGATGGTCATGAATATCACAAGAAATTAGAAGTGTATTGGCATCAAGAGTGATGAACATCGCTAAATCCTCCGTGAGTTCTCGCTGCTTCTTTCCAGAAGTGTTGAAGCGGTGCCTTGAGCACCGAAACAAACGAACCCAATCTGGCCATGGCTCAAATGTCAACCGGGTAAATTCCACACTTCACCGAATTTCACCCAGCACCCGTTTTTTTCAAAGGTTCATGTTCAGCATGCTCAGTCTCAAACCATCCACGCTGGGTCAATAGCTACCCGAAAATATTTGCCGGGCATGAAATATTCGACAGTAGTGATTGAAGTGCCTAATTTTTGAGGCTAAATTGAAGAATATGTCACGCCGCCACGCCCATCAAATGTTTCTGTGTTTGCGACCATTGAGTCTCGCACAAATACTGCTTCGCTTCCTCCACCATGACGTCCAGATGAGTCTGAGACTGGTCTGAAATCAATTGTAGTTGCTTTAGGTACGGACGTTTCTACGGTGCAAGGGAAAAGCAAAGGGCGGGGCACAAACATTATTAGCAAATCACAAATGATCATGAATGCTGACAGCGGAAGTTTTGCTGATTGCTTGCAGCATCATGATTGGTTGTGTTGCAGCTCTAGAAACACGCAAAAACGACAGCTACTCTTTCCAAAAAATCTTGAGAAATGACTGGGCCTGGCTTGGACAGAACCCCTGACCTTCAGCCAGTTCAATTCGTATACAACGATTCTGAGATGCTTGTCAGCAGTCAGCATCCATTCTTTTTCTTCGAGCGAACTCAGGCATAGATCGACATCGCAGCAGGCGGAACCACCTGAAGACATGGTGAAAGGAACTCCCATTCCGTCGTTGCAAGGCTTTCACATTCAAAAAAGACTTTGTCCGGTTAGCCTTCTGCACCGCTTCTCGGTAGTTCCTGCCATGCAAAAAGCCATGCAAAACCATGATGAATTTTGCGAAACAAAACAACACATTTCGTGAAAGGTTAAAAAATGGTGGTCAAAACTAGCAAGCCGCACGGTCTCTGCCAAGACTGGATGACCTGAAGCTCCTGAAGCAGAGGCACCAAGACCTCAGCATTCAACGCTGCGCTGACCCAGAACCTCGGACGAGGATGACTAGGATCATACTAAGTAGCCTAAGGCCAAGGGAAAATGTATGAAAATGTTGAGTATTGACAGTATTGAGTACTAGTCTTGTGACTTCTAGTCCACAATTATTATGACTACTATCATAGTTACGATTTATGATGGACATCATTGAAAATACCTATCAACCGCAGTTTGGACCTCCAACCTCTGAAGCACAAACTGAGATGCCAAGCCTCAAAGCCCTGGAGGCAGCCCTCTGAGAGATGAGCACCATCCTGGACTTGGAAAAAGTTCCAAGGGACACGTTTTGCGACTACTGTAGTTCAGGGCGCTTTTGCAACTGGCTTAGGGCGTCTTTAGGTGTTTTTTAGTCACCTTTTTCTGCCACAATTTTCGTCTTTTTATATCTTGGCATGGCTGAACGTAACTTTAGGAAAAACACTTGCTTCTATGTAATACAAAATGAAAAAAAATGATCAAGTCAGAAACACTAAGCAAGTGAAGCAAGTTTGAAAAAAGGAAAGGTTCCTGCAGCGTCAAGGCAACAGTGCACTTGGCTGATCTGGCTTCGCAGGATGCGATCACAGCAGCTGCAAGCCCCTGGGGCAACGCAACGTCACTGGTTGTACTAGAAGAAATGATAAAATATGAAATAAAGGCACATCCAAAGCAAAGCTTCCCTGAAATCAGTCTCTAGATGTCTTTGTTGCAACATGTGGCCTGTACGATGTTGGGAGCAGGCAAAGCTGGAATTTCGGCTCTTCCTTGGAGGCCAGGTAGGCAAACTGTTCACAATACAGTGATATGGGTTTGTCTGAAAATAGGGTATATTCCCAATTATAGCCATTTAATAGGGATAATGATCAGCAAAACCATTGGGTTTAGGGGTACACTATTTTCAGACACACCCATATAGAGACTGCTGTGGCTTTGTTTGGCCAAACCATCAGCCTCTTTTTTAAGCTTTGCTGAATGCCCAGCGTCCACTGCAGGACGTCCAGAGCCCTGCGAGATGAGGTTCCTCAAAGAGAACCCGCAACAAATCTTGGAAGACTCCCGACATGGTGAAGTCGTCAGTCCTTCAGCATATAGACACAAACATCCATATACTGTACATATCCATTTCCGTATACATGTAAATGCATATATATATAACATATATGTGCATATATTTATATATTATACATATATATATATATATTATTTATATATATATATATTTTTACATACACATTCATTTGCATACTCACATACCGTGACATATAATTGCTTATATTAAACTATCATTAACCAAAAATACACCCTGATGTTTCCGGACCGAGCAATGCTGAGCAGCTCACTTCTGGTCGTGGACAGGGACTGCACCACTCGGATCTCAAAATTCGGTCGAGGACGAGGACCTGCAACACAGCCGGAGCAACTTCGCCGGAGCGCTTGAGTTATTTTTTCCCAGTCAGTGCTTCATTTGGATAAGCAAAAAAACTGTAGAAATATAAAGCAGTGGGTCAAAACCTTGTACCCCTGGTGAACATCAAAATAGCTGGGATTTATGGATGTTCATTCCCCTAAAAATGGTATCTATAGGTATTGACCCATACCCATATAAGAATCAAAACAAAGGCATGAAATTGGGCACACCAAAAATGGACAAAGGGGGAAAAAAAAACATGAGATGGTCTGCCAATAAAAATGTGCAACTCCCTGGGGTCTTAAAATCTTCACCCATGGCCATTTGCACAACATGCAACTAACGACCCTTGCAAACCTGCGCTCCCTCCAAGGCAAGTAGTAATTTCTCTGCCCATGCCACAGCATACTCCGCTGCAACCTTAGCAGCACAAATGAATGACAACTGTAGCTCTTAGCGAACTTCAAAGGCCTGTCTGACATGCAATCAAGATAGAAGCCCATCTGATACAGGTCCATAGATGTCTAATCGTCTACCAACCTCTGAATGATAGATCCTTCTTTCTCACACAGGTCATCCTTTCCTACCACTTCTGTAGCTATTCGCATGAGGTTCTTGGGACAGCACCGGCGCCTCCAGCAAAACGACCACCACTCCGTTAGCATCTGAAACCTGTTCGCTGAGATGTAACATACTAGTCACTGCTGGTCTCCAGCCCAACACGGCATGTCCTGAATTTGCTCACGAGCTTCCCTGTCCCTGTGACCTCAAAGAATTTCGGCGACTTTGGCAGAGGTGGAAAAGCTCGCGCCGAGTCCTGCAAAGAATATCTAAGAATCAGGATTGGGCGCAAAAAATAGGAGAATTAGAATATATTAGAATTGTGAACTGAAGCAATTGCGAGTTAATTACGACTTACTCGCATAGCTAAGCCCATGCTCAAAGCTGGATGTAAAGCTGTCAAAGTCATCCAATGCTCCTGGGGTTTGAGGCACCATGACCTGCCAACCAACGACTACGACACCGGGGGGAACGAAGGTACCACTGAGGTTGCGGCAGTGGTCGTAAAGCGAAGACCTGGAGGGCAAAGGCGCTTGCCGGTCCTGAAGCACCGTTTCACCGAGTTTCACCAACAAACACTCAAAATCAAATGTAGTAATGTAGTATCTGTCAAAATCAGATATGACTATGATTAACTATGATTAACTATGATTAACTGATACAAGTATGGTTCAACCACTTTTACATTGGACATATTGGGTTTGCTCTTAAAATATGGGATTCGGGATGCCTCAATCAGCAATGGTGATTCGGAAAACATGGAGAAAACTGTGATAAAGGTCAGGATACTTTGTGGGACTTTGTGGTACCCTATTTTTCAACAAACCCAAGTGCAGACTGAACTTGGGAGCAGACCAGGTCCACAAATCACCAATGTCTTGTAGTCACTGCTTTCGTAACCTGGCAGGAACCGTCAAAGTATCCAAAGGAATTTGTTGTCGAACAGAATGTGTTTTACGTGTAAAAAGTGTTAAATGTTGCTTGATGAAAACGCTTTCCCCAGGCCTGAAAGAGTGAATTCAACATCTGGCTGGTCATCCTCATCATCAGACCTAAGCAGAAACGAATTCTACAAGCCGCCACGACGATACAAGTTGAAATTGCATGACCAAATCCACAATCGGCTTATCAAGCTCCAATATCAAGGAAGCTGAGAGCCAGACACGCAAGGTTGGATCTGGTCCAGCAACCCATGAATCATTCTTGCAGTACAAATCTTTCACAGTTGGATTATTGTGATCTTCATCTCTGTTTGGGATCGAAAGAGTCGTAAGCTCTAGGTTTCCACGGTTTCCGGCTAGAGTGGTTTAAAAAGTTTAAAAGTTTGTGCTGCATCTTCACTGTTTGTTTTGCAGCATGTTCACCTCACTGGAGCTGAAAGCTGCATTGAAGATTCTGAAACACGTCTGTAACTGCTAAAAGCTAGGACACCTGTCATAGTTGTCCGAGATCCAGCTATCCAACTCTGGACACCCTCAGAACTTTAGAGGGACAAGAGAAGCCTGTCACCTGCGGTGGCTTCGAATCCCTCCTGCCAGCGCACTACTGAACCGGTCAAATGACACTACCGCAGTCAACTGTCTTTTTAGACTTTCTTTCGATGCGGTCGAGAGTCAAGGGTTGAGACAACCCATGACTTGGCTATGACCAGAAGACGGTCCTCAGCAACCTAGCTACTACAGCGTTCGCTGTAAAGCCAAAAAGGGCGCTTGCAAGCTATGGGCTGCAGCAAACCACAGCCAGTAGCTGTAAGCTTTTTTCCTACATTCTCTCACAAACTCTTGTACTTCTCAATGGCCTGCTTTACGCTGTCCTGCTGATCAGCTGGCACCATGCACATGCAGGTCTCCACTGTTGGCACTGGGCCGCCAAGGCAAGGGAAGAAGGGTTTGATGCTGCCAGGTGCCTTTGCCGCAATCTCATCCTCCACTGCCTTTTTGGCTGCCTCCTTCATGCCGTCACCCATACCTCCCATGGCTCCCATCATTCCAGCCATCTCTGAAAGTGCAGGAGTGAGCAAAGTCCGAGAATGTTGAAGCTGCAAAAATGCTGCAACCAAAGGAGCCCGGAGCTGGCAAGCAAAGAAATAAGATAATATAAACATATCTCAACCTTCTATATCTTCTATCATACTATGAACTATGAACCTGGGATTTTGCAAGAAACCCATTCTTCAGTCAATTCTCTGTCAGATCCGGTCGAACAGTATCACACACTCTTCAAACTCTGCAAAGCAAATGCTGGAAATAGATGGAAATGGTCAATGTAAAATGCAAACTCTTCTCTGAACACTATCCTTTCGATCATTGGTCGGTTCTGTCAACTAGAAAAATTCAATCTGCCAGACATTAACCACATGGTTTTGCAACAGCACCAACAACAAGCTCGGTTTCAAAAGGTTTACACACCCGATTGCACTACTGGACCCGGACCACAAGGCCCCAGAGGGTCTGACGACAACACCGCGGTCAATGTTCTTTTAGACTTTCTTTCGATGCGGTCGAGAGTCAAGGGTTGAGACAACCCATGACTTGGCTATGACCAGAAGACGGTCCTCAGCAACCTAGCTACTACAGCGTTCGCTGTAAAGCCAAAAAGGGCGCTTGCAAGCTATGGGCTGCAGCAAACCACAGCCAGTAGCTGTAAGCTTTCTTCCTACATTCTCTCACAAACTCTTGTACTTCTCAATGGCCTGCTTTACGCTGTCCTGCTGATCAGCTGGCACCATGCACATGCAGGTCTCCACTGTTGGCACTGGGCCGCCAAGGCAAGGGAAGAAGGGTTTGATGCTGCCAGGTGCCTTTGCCGCAATCTCATCCTCCACTGCCTTTTTGGCTGCCTCCTTCATGCCGTCACCCATACCTCCCATGGCTCCCATCATTCCAGCCATCTCTGAAAGTGCAGGAGTGAGCAAAGTCCGAGAATGTTGAAGCTGCAAAAATGCTGCAACCAAAGGAGCCCGGAGCTGGCAAGCAAAGAAATAAGACAATATAAATATATCTCAACCTTCTATATCTTCTATCATACTATGAACTATGAACCTGGGATTTTGCAAGAAAGCCATTCTTCAGTCAATTCTCTGTCAGATGTTACGCAGTTAGGCGTAACTTCTGTACCGGTCGAACAGTATCACACACTCTTCAAACTCTGCAAAGCAAATGCTGGAAATAGATGGAAATGGTCAATGTAAAATGCAAACTCTTCTCTGAACACTATCCTTTCGATCATTGGTCGGTTCTGTCAACTAGAAAAATTCAATCTGCCAGACATTAATCACATGGTTTTGCAACAGCACCAACAACAAGCTCGGTTTCAAAAGGTTTACACACCCGATTGCACTACTGGACCCGGACCACAAGGCCCCAGAGGGTCTGACGACAACACCGCGGTCAATGTTTTTTTAGACTTTCTTTCGATGCGGTCGAGAGTCAAGGGTTGAGACAACCCATGACTTGGCTATGACCAGAAGACGGTCCTCAGCAACCTAGCTACTACAGCGTTCGCTGTAAAGCCAAAAAGGGCGCTTGCAAGCTATGGGCTGCAGCAAACCACAGCCAGTAGCTGTAAGCTTTCTTCCTACATTCTCTCACAAACTCTTGTACTTCTCAATGGCCTGCTTTACGCTGTCCTGCTGATCAGCTGGCACCATGCACATGCAGGTCTCCACTGTTGGCACTGGGCCGCCAAGGCAAGGGAAGAAGGGTTTGATGCTGCCAGGTGCCTTTGCCGCAATCTCATCCTCCACTGCCTTTTTGGCTGCCTCCTTCATGCCGTCACCCATACCTCCCATGGCTCCCATCATTCCAGCCATCTCTGAAAGTGCAGGAGTGAGCAAAGTCCGAGAATGTTGAAGCTGCAAAAATGCTGCAACCAAAGGAGCCCAAGCTGGCAAGCAAAGAAATAAGACAATATAAATATATCTCAACCTTCTATATCTTCTATCATACTATGAACTATGAACCTGGGATTTTGCAAGAAACCCATTCTTCAGTCAATTCTCTGTAAGATCCGGTCGAACAGTATCACACACTCTTCAAACTCTGCAAAGCAAATGCTGGAAATAGATGGAAATGGTCAATGTAAAATGCAAACTCTTCTCTGAACACTATCCTTTCGATCATTGGTCGGTTCTGTCAACTAGAAAAATTCAATCTGCCAGACATTAACCACATGGTTTTGCAACAGCACCAACAACAAGCTCGGTTTCAAAAGGTTTACACACCCGATTGCACTACTGGACCCGGACCACAAGGCCCCAGAGGGTCTGACGACAACACCGCAGTCAATGTTCTTTTAGACTTTCTTTCGATGCGGTCGAGAGTCAAGGGTTGAGACAACCCATGACTTGGCTATGACCAGAAGACGGTCCTCAGCAACCTAGCTACTACAGCGTTCGCTGTAAAGCCAAAAAGGGCGCTTGCAAGCTATGGGCTGCAGCAAACCACAGCCAGTAGCTGTAAGCTTTCTTCCTACATTCTCTCACAAACTCTTGTACTTCTCAATGGCCTGCTTTACGCTGTCCTGCTGATCAGCTGGCACCATGCACATGCAGGTCTCCACTGTTGGCACTGGGCCGCCAAGGCAAGGGAAGAAGGGTTTGATGCTGCCAGGTGCCTTTGCCGCAATCTCATCCTCCACTGCCTTTTTGGCTGCCTCCTTCATGCCGTCACCCATACCTCCCATGGCTCCCATCATTCCAGCCATCTCTGAAAGTGCAGGAGTGAGCAAAGTCCGAGAATGTTGAAGCTGCAAAAATGCTGCAACCAAAGGAGCCCGGAGCTGGCAAGCAAAGAAATAAGACTATAAATATATCTCAACCTTCTATATCTTCTATCATACTATGAACTATGAACCTGGGATTTTGCAAGAAACCCACTCTTCAGTCAATTCTCTGTCAGATGTTACGCAGTCAGGCATAACTTCTGTACCGATCGAACAGTATCACACACTCTTCAAACTCTGCAAAGCAAATGCTGGAAATAGATGGAAATGGTCAATGCAAAATGCAAACTCTTCTCTGAACACTATCTTTTCGATCATTGGTCGGTTCTGTCAACTAGAAAAATTCAATCTGCCAGACATTAACCACATGGTTTTGCAACAGCACCAACAACAAGCTCGGTTCCAAAAGGTTTACACACCCGATTGCACTACTGGACCCGGACCACAAGGCCCCAGAGGGTCTGACGACAACACCGCGGTCAATGTTTTTTAGACTTTCTTTCGATGCGGTCGAGAGTCAAGGGTTGAGACAACCCATGACTTGGCTATGACCAGAAGACGGTCCTCAGCAACCTAGCTACTACAGCGTTCGCTGTAAAGCCAAAAAGGGCGCTTGCAAGCTATGGGCTGCAGCAAACCACAGCCAGTAGCTGTAAGCTTTCTTCCTACATTCTCTCACAAACTCTTGTACTTCTCAATGGCCTGCTTTACGCTGTCCTGCTGATCAGCTGGCACCATGCACATGCAGGTCTCCACTGTTGGCACTGGGCCGCCAAGGCAAGGGAAGAAGGGTTTGATGCTGCCAGGTGCCTTTGCCGCAATCTCATCCTCCACTGCCTTTTTGGCTGCCTCCTTCATGCCGTCACCCATACCTCCCATGGCTCCCATCATTCCAGCCATCTCTGAAAGTGCAGGAGTGAGCAAAGTCCGAGAATGTTGAAGCTGCAAAAATGCTGCAACCAAAGGAGCCCGGAGCTGGCAAGCAAAGAAATAAGACTATAAATATATCTCAACCTTCTATATCTTCTATCATACTATGAACTATGAACCTGGGATTTTGCAAGAAACCCACTCTTCAGTCAATTCTCTGTCAGATGTTACGCAGTTAGGCATAACTTCTGTACCGATCGAACAGTATCACACACTCTTCAAACTCTGCAAAGCAAATGCTGGAAATAGATGGAAATGGTCAATGTAAAATGCAAACTCTTCTCTGAACACTATCTTTTCGATCATTGGTCGGTTCTGTCAACTAGAAAAATTCAATCTGCCAGACATTAACCACATGGTTTTGCAACAGCACCAACAACAAGCTCGGTTTCAAAAGGTTTACACACCCGATTGCACTACTGGACCCGGACCACAAGGCCCCAGAGGGTCTGACGACAACACCGCGGTCAATGTTTTTTTAGACTTTCTTTCGATGCGGTCGAGAGTCAAGGGTTGAGACAACCCATGACTTGGCTATGACCAGAAGACGGTCCTCAGCAACCTAGCTACTACAGCGTTCGCTGTAAAGCCAAAAAGGGCGCTTGCAAGCTATGGGCTGCAGCAAACCACAGCCAGTAGCTGTAAGCTTTCTTCCTACATTCTCTCACAAACTCTTGTACTTCTCAATGGCCTGCTTTACGCTGTCCTGCTGATCAGCTGGCACCATGCACATGCAGGTCTCCACTGTTGGCACTGGGCCGCCAAGGCAAGGGAAGAAGGGTTTGATGCTGCCAGGTGCCTTTGCCGCAATCTCATCCTCCACTGCCTTTTTGGCTGCCTCCTTCATGCCGTCACCCATACCTCCCATGGCTCCCATCATTCCAGCCATCTCTGAAAGTGCAGGAGTGAGCAAAGTCCGAGAATGTTGAAGCTGCAAAAATGCTGCAACCAAAGGAGCCCGGAGCTGGCAAGCAAAGAAATAAGACAATATAAATATATCTCAACCTTCTATATCTTCTATCATACTATGAACTGTCAAAGTATCATTTGCATGAGTGTCAAGAATGTTCAAATACGCGCGAAACTCCACGTTTCTGCCGCGGCCACATTTTTTGATATTTAGCTTGACCAATCCAGGGGATGGAGTTCACAGAGAAGGAAACACCTCGGTCTTTATAAATACCAAAGAAATGTTAAATTTAAATTTAAATTAACAACCTGATATTCAGAATACCAACCTTGAGGTGGTTGTTTTTCCTTCTGTATTCACCCTTCGGCTTTCAAGCCAATTCAAGACATGGCATATTGGCTGTACAAGCTAGAATTGAAAACATCAGAGAGCCGGGCATTAAAGTGCCACACTCTCCTCACTGTCATCATGACAACACGCTGCATCAGTTGCCTTGATCCAGGAACTCAGTTTGTCAATTTGTTTGCAAGATTTAGTAGTATGTGCATGCTCCTTGCCGCTTTCTTAAATAGGATTCAAAAGAAACATGTAACGTCTTGTCCGTGCAAACGCCCATGCAAATGCCCGGGTGAACTTGGCGCAAATATGTACAACTTGCCAGCTCTACCTGGGACTCCTACAGCGTACTGACACTTTCACTGACGCAAGGGCTGCAGGATTTGTGTCAGGCGGAGTGATTCAAACGGGGTGAATATATATATATATACATACATACACATTATATACGCTGAAGCAAGATCTCTGCTTGGCTATGTCTTGTGACAGAGAATGGGATCAGAAAACATCCTCAGCCCTTCAACCAGTTTGTACAAGATATCCACTCCAAGTGGAAGAATGAGAAGAACGAGAAAAGCCTGCGTAGGCCGTAACCGTAAGCTCTTGGAGTCTCTTGGAGTCGGCTGCGTGCTGGGCTGCTTGGCAGCTCAATATGAAAAATCACAAATGCAGCCACCAGTTTGCAGCTTTCGCACCTCCGACGGCTTGGTTGTCTCTGCCATGTCTTCCATGTCTGAATTCCATTTGGAATTTTCTCAAAATGCCCACCCCATTCCATCTCAAGGTCTAAAACCTAATTTTCCCCTGTAAATGGCCATAAAATCACTTTACAAGATTGTAAAACTGCTAGCAATGAGTGCATTTGCCCATCATTTCCCCCAGTTTTGAGGATCACACTGCATTCTTCAGCTCGTGATGCAGGGGGCCAGCTCCAGATGAACGACAGTTTCCTCCAAGCCGAAGCTCGAGCCTTTCCAGCTTAGGCAGCTCCTCAGAGATTTGTCCACGGATTGTGGACGGATAGGGATGAGGAAAACCTCACATCCATTGGGGAAATTGATGATGAACCATTTTTAACCAGTGAAGCTTGGGGGAATCCGATGAGACAACCCGACTCGGAGAGTATTCTGCGTCTGTACCAAGGCAGCAGTCTGAGAATCTGGCGCCAACGGCCCGAGCCAATTCACGCTCACCATTGTCCCCAACAAGATTTCCACGAAGGTCTGCAACCAACCTTCCATGATTTCATGTGAGAGCGGTCGACCATCCCAAGTTTGACACCCACGTGGTAAATTGTCCAAACATTGGGTATACCCAAAAATCCGGTGGTTTATCATGGTCCCCATTAGTATCATTTAACCCCTATTTAGATGTGTACATATCTATCTATCTATCTATCTATCTATCGATCTATCGATCTATCTATCTATCTATCCATCCATCTATCTATCTATCCATCCATCCATCCATCCATCCATCTATCTATCTATCTATCTTCCCATCCCATCCCATCCCATCCCAACCCATCCCATCCCATCCTATCCTATCCTATCCTATCTATCTATCGATCTAATTGGTTCTATCCCATGTTAAAAACGCGGTGATTGTTGGTTGAAGATCCCCCTTTGTTGGAGTGAAACATCACAGCTGGCAATGAGACCGACTTCTCAGAACCTGCAAAGCTTCGATAGGCTGCTCATGGCACGAGCCAACTCGCAAGCACCGGAGTCACCTTTGAACTGAAGAAAAAAAATCCAGACACCAGAGCATTGATGCAGCTGCATGTGTGTGTGTGTATCTGTATGTGTCGTATACGTGTGACTGTAGTACATGTTTTGGAAACAGTTTGACAATGGCAAGTTCATCAACTGGCATTCTATTGCCTGGCCTATGCCATTTCCACTGACGTCCAATTCCAAGTCCACCAGCAAATGCAAGTTGGCTAATGCCTCGCACATGGGGAAAATGCCAGAGGTGTGTTTGAGAAGCACTACTGTTATCTACTGTTAGTGTTTATGTTAAAGCGCTAGGAAAACAATATGGCTATGGGTCAAAACTAAACATCGAATAGTTGGCCAATGACACATGTTCATCCGTTCATATCTGTCCACCTCAATATAATATGATATAAACATGCCCTGACATGACATGACATAACAGTACAATTCAGAACAGAACATGGCATGACATGATATTATATTGCATTAGGTTACATTACACTACATTACATTACATTATTTGCATTACTTACATTACTGTATATACATTAGCTACGTTATATACATTATATACATTACAGTATATACATTGTATACATTATATATACACTACGTACATTATATACATTATATACACTATGTGCATTATATGCATTATATACACTATATGCATTATATACTGTATATACAGTATCTACGTTATATACATTATATACATTATCTACGTTACATGATTTACATTATGTACATTATATACATTATATACACTATATACATTATATACATTATATACACTATATGCATTATATACATTATATACATTATATGCATTTGATACATTATATACATTATATTCTACATTATATTCTTCATTATATTCTACATTATATTCTACCCAATATTATTCATTGTATTCTACATTATATTCTACATAATATTATTCATTATATTCTACATTATATTATACATAATATTATACATTATATTATACATTATATTATACATTACATTACATACATCATATACATCATATACATCATATACATTATATACATTATATACATTATATACATTATATACATTATATACATTATATATGTACATTATGTACATTATCTACATCATATACATCATATACATTGTATACATTATATACATTGTATACATTCTACACATTATATTCTATATGATATACATTATATACATTCTATACATTATATACATTATATACGTTATATACATTATATACATTACATACATTACATACATTACATACATTACATACATTACATACATCATATTATATTGTATACATTAGTCATGCATTATATTATATTGTATTCCTCTCGTACATCGCACACCAGTTCAAGTGCTGGAAGCGGCCGACCAGCTTTAAGGTCTTATTCCCCATGGATAACTCAACTTCCTTATCCAGTGCTTATCCAAAAAATGATGGGTGATGTAAGCCCCACATCTAAACAAGGAAGAGGATTGTTTATGGCAATTTTAGTGTGGTGAAGTTTCTGTAGAATTGCTGAATTCTAGACAATATGATCTAATGGTGGGTTTTGGCGATTGTCTTCAAATGTTTGGTGATTTTTTGTAATTCTGGTGGGTTTTGCTCTCGTGATTTGTGTTTCATTTCCGTGACGTTCGATGTTTTTCTGTGATGTTGAGTGATTTCGCATGGTTTTTGTATGTTTGTTTGGATGATTTTTGTAGATTTGGTGGCCTGACGGGCCATTTTCGGGGGGTCTATGGTCAAATAGGTGCTGTTTCCCTGCTTACTGCTTATCCACCACTTAGGATGATCACTCTAATTCAGAGGTCTCAAAAAGACAAGCAGGCACGACATTTCTGCTTTCTGCATCACCATGTTCGTCATCATCATCATCATCATCATCATCATCATCATGCCGGGAACGTCCCTGTAAACTTCCGGGCAACACACAGCGCCTGGCCGTATAAATATAAATAAACAAATGTACATTTATGTATTATATATATATATGGAATTTGTATATATATATATGTCTGGAATCTATGCCTATATTATATATATATATATCAGTGGAGGTTTTGACCCATACTCATATTAACCTCTGTGACTTCTCAAGATCTGACGCGCCTGCGACAGTTCTCTGGCACCAACCTCGCGGATTCGATTCCCAGAGGCCAATAAACGCAAACTTACCTCAGACCATCGAATCAATCCACGAGAGTTGGAGCGGAATGTGACACAGTTATGGCATGTGGTGTCCTAAAGATGTTGGTGAACTACCAACAAACAAATAGTAACCGACTATCGCCAAGTTGTCCAGCTATTCAACGACAAGCATGACAGCTGAAAACACTGTAATCTTCAGCAAGTTTGGTGTATCTGTTGCTTCCAAATTCCAGGTCTCTCCCACCCAAAAGTCGTGAGTTCTGGACGCGGACCGTGGTTTTCTCCGTACAAACTCTGCTGCGGGAATTCAATTTTCTGGAGTTTTAGGCTTTAGCCGCTTTAGCCAAGAACAAGAGCTTTAGTTTTTCTCACTTTCTACTATCAATATCTTGTTTTGAGGGGTTGGGAATTCTGATTACTCATGAAGAATTTCACTAGCGGTTCCCTTCCTTTCCCATTGGGAAGACTCTGGGCTGCAGATGTCTGGTTGTCTGGTTGGTTGACGGGAATCGTGGCGGGCTGCAGGGTGGGGGTGTCCCGGTGGGACAATCCAGCGCCTAGCACTAACCTCACAAAAGATCACAAAAGCGGAAAAAAAGAAACGCTGGGCGTCACACCAGACTTTGCTGTGAAGAGATCGCCTTCCACAGCCAACATCGATATACTTTAAGCTTTGGACCTTTACCTATGTCTGTGAATGTGTTTTCGTGTGCAAAATGTGCAAATGCCATGGAAGTTTCAACATTCTGCTGCATGCTGCATACCGGCTGCATACCTAATAAATCCTAATAATACATACAGAGTAGTTAAGATCCATTCTGCTGGCCACTAGAATCTTAGCAGGGCTACCCAACCTGGGCCAACAAACGCGCGCCGGCAGAACCTGGCCATCGAAATGAATGAGGACACGAGATCGTACGAGATCGTACGAGATCGTACGAGTACAGTGAGTACAGAGCACCCAGCCTACATGGTTCACGTTCAAGTCAATGCTCAAGTTCTGCAGGCCCTAGCAAAAAGGGAGACAGCAAAAAGGGCATCCTAAACTGACACCGGAGGAAAATGGATGTGGAAACCGGGCCATTTTCATGGTTTTCTCCCTCTCCACACAGCACATGGCCTGAAGGTTGGAAAGGGCCATGCCCAAATCATGGGCACCTTCGCAACAAGCCATGGCAGCCATGGCAGCCATGGCAGCCATGACTCAGAATCCCATCACCCAGTAACGCCCAACCCCCCCCACTCTGCTGTCGGGGTCTGCCTGCCCATCCAATGCTACTCACGCTGAGGTCAAGCCTCGAAAAGTCACTCTTTTGCACGAATAACACACAGGCATGTACAGGAATGTACAGGACGAAATGTGCAGAAAACGTGCTAAGATGGCATCTCCAAGTCTCGAAGACTGTGGGAACTCAGCGCATGGGCAATGTCCTCGGGGATGCCGGAAATTCACAGCTGATGGATGTTGATGGCACATTCCGATACCACCAGCCTGGACACCAGCCTCTGAAACCTGTGTCGAGAAGGGACCAGGGATGCCAATGTCAAAGCTGCTCCAAAGTACGTAAATAAAAGGAAAAAAATAACGAACAAAATGCAAAAGAAATCAAAAGAACACTATGGTCGCATCGTGTTGCATCAAGCAAACGATGTATTGAAAGCTCGGGTGCAAACTGCATTTCTGTTCAAACCCAGGACAAGTCGTGAGAGCCTCAGAAGAGGGAAGCAAGCAGCGTGCAAAGTGAGTAAAAATGGCAGCTCAAAAGATTGCTGAAGGATGCTGAAGGATTGTCAGGGTTGAGAAAGGTTTGCATTTTGATCGGACTCTTGGACTCTTGTTGGCCAAATCCAAGGCGTTAGCTTGCGCAATCCTCTCATTGTTGTGGCCATTTGCCGAGCTCCATCCTGTTTCTAAGTCTGGAAATCCTGGAATCCTGGAACTCAGCAAAATCACTCGCTGCGGCCTCACCAACGCGATTGTCGAAAAGAGCAACCTCAAATTCAGTCAGGGCCGGCAGCTCCAGTACCTTACGCCAAGGACAGGAGAACGAGGTGTGCCAATTTGTGCCACATCTCAACACTCGAAAGGGCACCACTTGGGCCAGGCAAGCCACTCCTGCACGCACAAGAGTCTAGCCACTACCCATGGTCTTGCCATGCGAAGCCTATGACATCTACGCAGTCTATACACCATAAACTGCCTGGATCAGAAATTCTGTTGCGATTCAAGTCCAAGACCTCATGTTGCAGCCGTCACAACAAAGCAGACCAGACGGTGCCACAGGGATGGTAGTTTTGGAACAAAACGCATCAAAAAAACAAACTTTATATTTATACATATTATTATAACATTATTTTATATTTATATATATCATATCGTCTACTCTACTTTATATCACTTTACTGTGTCGTACGGAGAAAGACCTGCGCAACTCACAGCGACCCCGATGCCGAGAAGCCAAGGCTTTCAGCAGAAAGGCCGAGCGCAGGGACTTGGACAACTCACGCAACCTGGCATTCTTAAAGATACCCGGCCTGGTAAACATACAAAAAACTATGGAAAATCACCATTTTTAATGGGAAAATCCACTATTTCTATGGCCATTTTCAATAGCTACGTTAAATTACCAGAGGGTAGCTTTCCCATCGGTACAGAAGCAAAATAGCAGGGATGACCCAGCATCTCCAATTTCATTCACGCTTAGATCAAGTTTCCTCAGGTCAAAGTGTGATGTCTAGAAGGCTCACAATATCCAAGAAGGACGACACTCAGATCTGGAAGAGGTATCAAAAAGTATCAAAATGTGTCAGAGAATACCCGCATTTGAAAATGTGCAAAGCGAGGAGGTGCACACTAATCCACTGTGTGCAACCCAGGATCAATCTTGCCAGGCCCCTCAAAGAGGTAAGCTCCTGATGTCATGAACGAAGGACGAGCAAAGTGGCCGTGGTCTCAATGAGTCAATGAGTGTAATGAGTCCATGAACATTTGATAAATAGACACGTTAGACACTGTCCTTCGCAAATCTTTCGCATCCACTGTGCCCAAGTCCGGCCCCTGCACAATTCTGCGGGCAATCCCTCAGATCCATTAATCCTGGATGGATCACTATGGCGTAACGTAATGTAAGGTAATGGTAATGCCAATGAAAACTCAAAGGTAAGGTCAAGCTATTGTAATTGTAAGTGTAATGTAAATGAAATGCCATCCGATGCAATGGAATGTACTGCAACGCAATGGAATGTAATGCAATGTAATGGAATACAATTGTATGTCCTGCAAGGTATATAATGTAATGTAATCCGATGTAATGTACTGTAATGCAATGTAACGTATGGATGCATGCATCTATATATCTATGTATCTATGTATCTATGTATCTATGTATCTAATCTAATCTAATCTTATCTAATCTTATCTTATCTTATCTTATCTGTCTATCTGTCTGTCTGTCGGTCTGTCTGTCTGTCTGTCTGTCTATCTGTCTATCTGTCTATCTGTCTATCTGTCTATCTATCTATCTGTCTATCTATCTATGCATCTATGCATCTATGCATCTATGCATGCAGCCATGCATGAATGATGGACGGATGGACGGACGGATGGATGGATCGAGGGGCGTGCGTACGTACGTACGTATATTATACATGTCATGTGAGTGTTCTTCCTAAACCGAACCTGCCAATAGCAGCTCAAGGCTCTGCAAACGGCGCAACGCACCAATGCCCTGACCAGCACACCCACTGATGTTGTGAGGGTACCCTATGGTACCTTGAGGTGGCCAAATTGCCTGCTAAAGGTATTCAAGTATTTTTTTGGTGTGGCCAGACCTGTGACTTCAGTGACGCTTTTATCTTCGAGATTACAGCCGTAGTCAAAACTGACAGTCAAGATAAACAAAGTGATCACACAAAAACGTGGTCACCATATGTATATGGTCACTATATAGTCGTCGTGTCACTGCCATAAGTTGAACCTGTCCACCCCACCAGCCCCACCGAATCAAACCTGGGCCAATTGGCAGGCTCCGTGCTCTCCAATAGATGTGAAACTGACATCGACCTGTGATTCAAAAGAATAACATTTCACGAAAAGAAGACCCAAAAGTGTCCAGTTCGCATTTTTCTTCGGCGTTCAGCCTCCAATTCCTTCAAGCCTTCCAAGGCTCTCAGCGACTTTGCAAGTGATTGAACAACCTCCTGGCACCGAAGTCACGAAATCATCATACCGACAGAATAAAGTCTCCAAATTTGCAAGGCAGACCGGAGACAAGCGCTTTCTGCGGACGTTGACCTTGATTCCTCAGACAACTTCAAAAAATTGTTTTCTACCACGGACCCGACCTGACCAAAATTCAAGAAATATACGTTCAACATCGTCATTGGTAAATTTAATTCCCTCCACCATGACGACCAAATACGTTTAACATTTTTTGGTTATGCAAACAATTGGAGTCAATGTCATACACATGCCAAGCCCCTTGCCCAATAGTTGCTGAGTCAGTGCATTTCGCATTTGACGGTCAGTTGCCTGGGCCGAATCCATTCCACTGATGTTTGTTCCGTTCCGCTTCGGTGCAGTATTTGGTTCCATTGATTTAACAAAAAAAATTGCCCATCCATTGCGCTGGAATTCCAACACTTTCCGGATGTTTTGTGTATCCAAACACGTGGATTGATTGCAAACAAATTGACCAAAGCAGGGTCGCCAACGCCAACTCGAAAAGCAGTTGCAGCATCATAGAAGTGCAGGGCCTGAGGTGAACTCAAGCAGTGTTGAAAACATTTTTTGACTTTGAATGCATGGTGGAAGGAACAGAATATCACTCTATAATACTATGGCATTTTGAACCACACATAAACAGATCACAACTGCGCGTGCAAACCAAACCTATACAAACCAGACCTGGAACATGGCCTCGGCAAAAATCCAAAACTATCATTCCATTGCCACTTCGGGGTTGTACAATTTGGCTGCGCGCAAACTGGGGACGCAACGCCTGGTGCCAAAACCTCGGCGATTAAAAACACACAAAAATGTGGCAAATTCAAGACATGTCTAACAAATGTGCTCAACACCCTGTCCTGACATTTTCCAGACACTTTCCAATTTTCCAAAACAAGGCACATCCGCAGGCATGTGTCGAAACCAGTCTGGCATTGCCATGGTTGGTTGGCACAAAAAGAAAATGACCGACTGGTTGTAAAATGCCCTGCGCACTGTCGATGTTTTACTTGGAAAAACGGGTGGATGAAACGTGTGTCTGCGGCAAATTTGCCATTTTTGTAACCTCAAGTATTGATTCTGTTGAAAATCAAAACCTGTGTTTGATCTTATCAAATGGCTGCAGAGTGTTCACACAGCAATTTTTGTCTGTTTGCCAATCATGAAACCATGTTTTTGAGTTGAATTGCGTTTCACACAACTGCACGTGGCCAGTGTTTAAACACTCAAAAAAATCGAAAACACTTGATGACGTATACGTCAATTTTTTGCAAGTGAAAAAAATGGGAAAAAAACAACCAAGGTTGGTTACGAATACGGGTTGTGCCCGACCACAAAAGACATACAAGGCATAGACATGCATAGACATATTTTATCACTCTTGCAACCGCTGCTGAGCCAATGCAACATGCTTGAACTAGGTGAGTTGCAATCTGCCGAAGGGTGGCAGAGGGGTGGGGCAAGACTGCAACTCACCTAAAGAAGAAACATGATTGACCACAATCAGCATGAAGTAAGTTGAAGTGACATGGAATTGACGTTGATGTTGAAGGGAGACATTCATCACAAACGACCGTTTGAACCAAGCTGATGTGCATCCACATCTTGCATGCAGTGATAAGTCGCTATCAAGCTTGACCGCTACAATATCATTTTTGCAACCGCTGGTGAGCCATTGCAACATGCTTGAACTATCAAAGGACGTGCAACTACCGTGAACTCAAGTTGCACTGAATGGGACTGCTACGCAAGGAACACTCATCTGTTTTCAAGCTGGGGCTATCTCACGGCCTGTTGTTCCCCCATTTTTCAGAGTGCCGTGAGTTTGTCCCAGCAAACTGAAGCTTCCATCTTACACTCAGCGGCACCCAGAGCAATCACCTTCTCGCAACTGAATCGTGATGGTCCATCTGAAAGATCTGAATCAGTAGGAACCCTAGCATACCAAGGTGTGATTAGCTCTTGGTACACTCCAGCGCCATAGTTGCAATGAGGACCTTTCTGGCAATTACATTTCTAAAGACGCAAGAAATGAGGGAATCTCGAGCACCATTGTTGTCAGTGTAGATTACAACAGCGTCTGTGACTTGATCACCCCAAAGCAAGAACGCGCAAAACAAAGCAAAGAACTCACACTCAAAATTTGCAGTTTGTTTGCCAAACGGGTTGAGTGTTGTCACCATCTCATCTGACAACCTGTGTGAAAAGTTAAGTAACGCACAGGTTTAACAGCAGGACTGAAGAGCACTGCCCAATGCCCGATGTAACACCTTTCACATCGACATCATAGCAAGCGTCTGTTTGGATGAACCATGTTTCCGCCGACGCTGGCTTGAGCTCACGAGGACGCCCCTATGCAACTTCAGTGCAAGAACCACATCATCCGAAAGGGACCACAGTTTTGTCCCTAACCTGATCAATGAAGTCGGGCCCCCCAGCACCAGCAAACTGTTGCCGCAGACCCGCACGTTCTTGCGCTGCAATGTCATGCAGCTCGTCCAAGGTCACCAGCGCAGGCTGGAATTTTGTAGGCCAAAGCCCTGTCTTCTCAACATTGCTAACTAAATCCGTACCACTGCGCAATTCGTCAACAACGGCCATGTCTGGATAGTCAACTGACTTGAGCATCTCCTCCGACAGCAAGAGGTTCTTGTCCTTGAGGATCTGGGCAACTTCACTATCCATGGACGCTTTCAACTTGCGCTCATCATCTTTGAGTTCAACAAGACGCCGCAACCAAAAACCCAACGTGCACGCTCTGTATTGCATACGCTCCTGAACACCTGTTTCATGATAAAACTTGATGGTCGACTGCAGAACTTCTGGCAGCCCTGACTTCACAGTCGTCGGATGGCCAAACCTCACCATCTGTTCAATACACTGGTCTTCAGAACACGGGACTCCCCAGACCTGCGTCTCACAGGTGCCCTGTCTGTCAATCTCTGGTGCCTGGCACGTCGAAACAATCCGATTGACACCATCCTCGCAAATTTGCTGCTCCGAAACAGAAATCCCCCTTTTCAGACATGATGAGGGCAGCAAACGAGGAACCACCTGCAAAAGCTGGGGACCCTTCGGCAATGTTGTTGGTGCGTTGTTGCGCAGACAATTTAGCCTGCAGGTGAAGCTGTGGCAAATCGGTTTGTGTGTTCCAGAAACTCCACTGCACATCTTTTTGATCATTGCAAAATCGGCTGCATTGAATCCCAACATTGTACGCTTGGGACGAGTGCTTCCATACATACATGATTGAAAAGTTGTAAAGTTCATCAAGTGAATGACCGATTGAATGAAAGTTGTTTGCCAAAAGTAGCTGAATTGTGGATTTTCAATGCAAAATAAACACACATGTTCAGTGGCCCACTGGACAAGTTTGGATGTAAAAGTACAACTTATTCGCCTTCGAGTCTTCGAGACCTTGATGCGGTCGACAAACACGTACCCGTGGTCAGACCAAACCCTGCCATCCCAGCCTCCTGCAAACCTGGGCTAGGCTGTGCCGAGTGTTGTCGCTCCTCTGGGTTACCTCTAGGCGGCGTGTACATCCCTGAACCTACGCACGGAAGCTTCAACAGAGCTCCGCTACCATGCGAGAGCGTTCAACCCAAAGAATGATCCCAAGAGCCAACACCTTCGACTCCGACAGCTTCAAGCCCCTTTTTGCGCGACGACACAGCACAAAACAAGACGCATGTCAGTCAATGCAGCTGTGCTAAGATCTCTCTCTTAGGCTGTTTGACTCGCACTCCTTGAGAGTGAAAATATATAGCGGAAACTCGATTTCAGGCTCAAGCGCAATTCCAGAGGTAAATCAAAACCTGCATGTTTCAAAAGTTTCTATGGACAAAAGTCACGAAATAAGTGACGTCCAAAATGTATGGCTTCAGGTTTACAAATCCCTAGATCTACGGGACCCTCAAACTAAGTAGTTCATCAAGATAGGTCATTAATCACCATTATAGGTAGGTTTTCTTCCCATCAGTCACCATCTCTCAACAACGGCTCTCGGCCTCAGACAAATGATGGTCACAGACATCATTTGGGAGAAAACTCAAAGCGCTTCGGGGGCCATCGGTTAACGACCTAACGATGAACCCATTTTTTCCTCGGGTGTGGCCGAAGAAGCTCAGTGGCTCGGTCCTGTGTAGCAAAGTTCGCAAATAAAATAGACAATAGCACCGTAAAAAGGTGCAGCTGAACAAAACAGCCTAGCAATTTGCAATGGAGGAAGCCAAACAACAAGACACAAACAAAACAACCGCAAACCAGCGAAGTACCGAAATGCAAATCCCCAGGCCAGATTTGCGTATCGGAACAACGCAAAGCAAACCAAAAAAGAGGAAAGGGGCCAGAGCCCAACACAAACCACCACCACGCGGCACCGCGTGCCAGCATGGCTCCATCAGCGACCTAACGATGAACCCACGCATAAACTCTACATCGTCCACGCAAAACGAGCTTTCCCGAGGATGACAACCGTCACAGTAAATCTGTGCTCAACGCATCGCTCAGCACCAAATCGCCTCGCCTAGCCAGAATCAGCAGTCGCAAACTCCAATCCACTCAAAAACTCATTGAATACAGAAATGAACGTATCTCCAGATTGCAAATCTTCCGCAAAGCTAAGTTCATCGACCTAGCCAAAAAGCAAAACACCATGCAGAAGAGATGAACGCATTCTTAAACAGAATTTCTCCTGTTTTAAGCGCATTGAAATAGCGAAAACACAGAATACCGTGCAAAAAAGAAGTCAATACATCTCCAGAAAGCAAATCTTGCAGCTAAGATTATCGGCATAGCCAAAAGCACCAACTGCAAAATACAAGCAACAAACCCTGCACTGGGTAGAGAACATAGATGTCACGGCGTCCCATCCCAAAACGAAAATTTACAGTTCCATCGGATCCGAATGAAAGACTTAAAAAATTAAACCCATCTAGAACCTTCCAAAGGAGACTCCAACTATCACATAAGTTTCAGGTTAAAAACGAACCAAAACTAGCTCCTCGTGCCTGCTTGTCTTAATCATGATAATTTTTGACTTTCTGTTGTGTTGATGAAGAAGGCTGGCAACTACGTCACAACTCTTTGTGACGTAATGAGATGAAATCAACTAACCATATCAGATTCACCTGCTAACTACAAAACAAAGTCCAAACTACCAAAGTCGACAAACTACTTTTTTTTTCCTCTGTTGCGGCCGATCTCGCTCTAAGGCTCGGTCCTGACAGTGAGAGAAGCGGTAAAAAAGTGTGCAAAATATATGAAACACTTTGGCTTCATAAACGAGGCACATCATGGAAAAACCAAAACAACGAGAAAAAACACGGCAACAGCGACGACCCGCAAATCTCCCGGCCAGATTTGCGTTTCGCCAGCAGAGAAAACAGCGAAATTACTTTACTTCGTGTGATCCCCACCATGACATGTCAGGACATGTCAGGACGTATATTTGGACAAATCTTGAATATATTCTGACATTCTATCTGACATATATTCTGGCATTCTATCTGGCAATCTATCTGACATATATTCTGACATTCCACCTGGCATTCTATCTGGCATTCTTTCTGGCATTCTATCTGGCATTCTTTCTGACATATATTCTGACATTCTATCTGGCATTCTATCTGACATATGTTCTGACCTTCTATCTGGCATTCTATCTGGCATTCTATCTGGCATTCTATTTGTCATTCTATCTGGCATTCTATTTGTCATTCTATCTGGCATTCTATCTGGCATTCTTTCTGGCATTCTATCTGGCATTCTTTCTGACATAAATTCTGACATTCTATCTGGCATTCTATCTGGCATTCTATCTGGCATTCTTTCTGGCATTCTATCTGGCATTCTTTCTGACATATATTCTGACATTCTATCTGGCATTCTATCTGGCATTCTATCTGGCATTCTTTCTGGCATTCTATCTGGCATTCTTTCTGACA